ATTCAAAATGAAAATTACTTATTTGAATCTGTAAATTATGCATATATTCTCTCTGTGATTTTAAATATATATTTACACCTTTTTTATAATTGTTTTACTACAAAACTTCTCTGTCTGATACCCATTTGTTTTTGCTTATTTTATATCGTTACTGTTAAAAGGCTTACTAAGAGACTAGAAATCCATAAACTAAATTAGTACCAGTAAAAAGTTTTGCCACTTCTTGCTATTGTTTATATCCCCTTAGCAAATTTTTAAATGTTGCCATTTGTCACCCAATATTTATTTTAAATGTTTTTCGATTCGCTATTTAATGTTTTCTGCAATTTAAGTTTTTTACTTAAAGAAATAAAGATTTTTTACATTTAAATTAACATTATCAAGTTTGTGTGTCAAAACAAAGGAGATTATCAATTTCCTAAAATCAAAAATAAACAGAAATTTAAATTTATCAGATATTAATGGAAATTCCACGTTAAATAGAAAAATGGAAAAAAAATATTAGAAAAGGATTGGGGAAAGGAATTAATTTTTTCGCAATACCATTAGAAATAGTCTTACAATTTTTCAAAAAAATTTCCTATTTCCACATTTTCTCATAAATATTCAATGTTAATCATTCTCCCTTCGACTGTTGTTCCTTGTAAAGCAGCCTTAGCTCTTTCAGCATCTTTTAATTGAACAAAACGAACTTTAGCGACACCTGGGGTTATCATTTCGACAGATTCAAGATCACCAAATTGCTGAACGCGATCACTAACAATTTGCCAAGTATAGTCGACTGGCAACTGAAAAAAGGAGATTTTTTTAGAAAAATAAAAAAATATTCTTTTCATTGGTTTACTCAATTCAAGTTCATTTTATGAAGTGAAAATGTTCATAAAATAAAAAACCGCAAAAGTTTGTAAGGATAACAGAAATGGGTAAATGTGGAGATTACTGGTCCCGAAAAAAAATGACAAAGAAATGTTTTTTTGATATTTTTGAGGTCTGCCAGTAGGTAATCGAATGTGCTGAGTCCGAATATGAGCTTAGAATTTGTCTATTTCGAACCCCGAGCCCGAATTCGATTAAGTCGGATATGGGGTAAAAATTCGAAATTTCAAATTTTTTGTTTAATCGGACTCAGCTCGAAGAGACGAGTCGAATGGTACCAAAATTATCAAGTTTCGACCATTTTAAACGAAGTTATGATCAATTAAATAACGTTGGGTTCGACTTCCGTATACAAATCAGATACCATAACTTCGTTTAAAATGGTCGAAACTTGATAATTTTGGTACCATTCGACTCGTCTCTTCGAGCTGAGTCCGATTAAACAAAAAATTTGAAATTTCAAATTTTTACCCCATATACGACTTAGTCGAATTCGGGTTCGGGGTTCGAAATAGACAAATTCTAAGCTCATATTCGGCCTCAGCACATTCGATTACCTACTGGCAGACCTCAAAAATATCAAAAAAGCATTTCTTTGTCATTTTTTTTCGGGACCAGTAATCTCCACATTTACCCAGAAATGTGTACCTAATAAAGTTTTAATTAAACATAAAACTCACATTTTTAATGAGGATAATGCGAGAAACTTCATAATTTCCTCCACCACCCGAAGAAGCAGAACCACCAATCGACCCAAAACCACTGCCATTTCCATATTCAAACTGAAATTTCCTTTTAAATTTACTTTTAAATTAGACAAAACCTTCATTCCAACAGTTGATTGTTGAGTAATTGGTTGTGAAGAAAAATTCGGAGATGTTTTTGTTGAATATTGAGAACCACTTCCACCACTTCCTCCAAATTGGGATAATATACCAGGCGTTATACGAGGCTGACCAATACTTTGACTGTGAGAGGAGGTATGTGACTGCCCTATTGACTGTGTGCCAAAAAATGTTGATTGGAAAGTAGTGGGCTGGGCAGGAGACTAAAAAAAATTTTTGACTTAAAAAATATTTTAAAAACCTGAAAATGCCCAATCTGTTGTTCTTGTTGAGGAATTACTTGTTGAAGGGTTTGTATCGGTACTTGGTTAGTTATCCCTCCCCAACTCAAAGGCGCGGGTACAGCTGTAGCCAACAAAGGAGTAGCTACTGGAGCAACGGTTCCATTAATTGGAGTCGAAACTGGGACAGAATTCATATTTGAAAGAACACTGGCAACGTCCGTGAGAGGAGCTCCATTTGCACCAAGTCCCATTCCAACACCACGAAGACCAAACTAAAAAGATTTAATCAAAAAATTAAAATATAATAATTAGACGGTAGGGTAGATCTTTTTTGATTTTGTTGAAAATCAAAAAAAATCAAATCAGAAAAACGAAAATCAAAAAACATCTTCTACCCTGCCTTTTAATATTATATTTGATATTTTTAATTTATTTTTAATTTTTTTCGATTTCCGCTCTGACACAAATGACAAACCGGAAGTCCCCCAGGGTCGCGTCTTTCAATATCCTTCGGATAACGATCCATCCGAACAGCCAAAGTTCTATCCAAAAGTCGTTGCCCATTCAACATTGAGACAGCCTGAACAGCTTCTATAGGATGCGAATATTCACAAACAGCCATTCCCTTTGTTTTTCCTTCTTTGTCCATCTGTAGATCCATCCATGTTACTTTTCCAGCTAATGCACAAATATCAAAAAGACGGCCGACAGTACAATTATAGGGAATCTTAATTAACAAAAGCATTAAATTAAGTTAGAAAAATGAACAAAAAATTTAATCCAAAATTGTAAAATATTAACAATCCATTTAATTAATAACTTTCTCACAAGTGAAGAATTATTTTTTTCACAAAAAGATAAAGAAAAACAAACATTTGTGACAAAAACTCGATTGCAAAGAGGTGTTCCAATTCCCAATTGACGCAAAAACGAAGGGCTTAAACCAAAAGTTTCGCTTTCGTTAATACTTAAACTAGTGCTGACACCATCACGATTCAAAGCAGAAGCTGCTCCTCGAGTACGTTCAGGACGATCACCGCCACCAAGAAAATCAATTCCAGTGTCTTCTTTTACTTTGCGGAAGAAAGCAATTGGATCCTAACAAAACATTATTTGTCATTTTTTTTTATAAAATCTCAGCATGTAAGAAGTTTTTAAAATAAAACTCAGACAACCCGTAAATGATTTTCTGAATTAAAAACAAAGTATTCTGAAAAAAATTCAAAAAAAAATTCCGCCTATTGAAGAGATATTTAAGAAAAATTAGCTCGACCCATTTCTTAACAAGAAACGGCCACATAGTTTTAATTCCTGATGAGGAAATTGACACAAAAAGCGTCAAGACTAATTCTTCATAATCTTTTAAGGACCCAGAAATCCAATGAAACAATAGGTAAACCCCTCAACTTTTTTCCAAGAAAATAAAAAATTTAAACAAAGATTCACTCTAATCTCCTTTGCAATAATCAAACGATCATGAAGTTCTGTTCGGTGCATGTTGTCAATACATTTATTTGCCCCTTCCCTATGTTTAAATTCAACAACGGCACATCCTTTTGAACGTCCATCTCTGTCTTCAAGCATTTCAACAAAATTTACCTGCAATTTGTTGATTTTTTAATCCAATTTAACGATAGTTGAACGATTGTGAACGGGTTTATAAACATTTAAATTTATATAAAAAATGCACATTAATATTGAAATCAAGTATTTAAAGCGCAAAAACATCGTTAGATGAAACAAATCCGTTCACAGAAAATATTTAAATTTCAAGAGAGATATGTCCAAGAGTTACAAAATGAGGTTTAAAAAACACACCTCGCCGGCTTTCTCACGAATAATATCCTTCAGTTCCATCCATTTCAATTCCCAAGGAAGATTAGACAAATAAACCATCTTGTCACTTTTGTGATCTATTCTATTTCCGCGTTCTGAAATTCAAAAACTAATTGTTGAATGAAGCATCAGCCACAGATTCATTAAATCCTCGAAGGCTAAAGACACAAAAGAAAAACCCCAAAAAAATCATAGGAATCTAAAATCATCGCCTGATTCTGTTAAAAGCATATTAATGAAAATTCGAGAATAAACTAAAGTGATATTTGAAAGATTAAATGACCACCAATGAGACAGCAAAAATGTAAAAAACTGTCATAATGAGACCTTTATTTGAAGCAACAAAACTAGAAAAACGAACTCCTTTCCTAAGAAGTATTTTAAAAATTTATGAGGATGACGACAAAACCCTAAAATGTAGAATCGACATCTTGAATGTCTACATAAGACGATAAATATTGAACAATTCAAGTCAGTCGAAGCAAAAACTAATCTAATTCTAAAAAATCAACGAAGTCTCTCGATAACTAAAAAAAATCTTAAATTTAACAAATAAATACCTCCTCCGCGATCGCGTCGACGTGGAACAGAATCACTTCTCCTGCGGACAGGACTACGTGATCGACTTCTTGACACTTCTGTCTTCATTGAACACTTAAAAGTTGAATATCAAAGTAATGTACAAATCTAGAAATAAGATGAATTAAAGGTGGATAAGAATTAAAAACGATAAATTGCAACGTTTAATGATAAACCAAAGAAAAATATACAGTAAGATTCCATTGATTGTAGGATTTAGAACGGTAACCCAGTTGAGTCCGCACATTTGAGTCAGAAAGACTCAACGCTATTAAGAAATTGAGGCGTAATACAATGGGGACTCAACCGACAGACTCAACTGAATTTTCTAATTTAAAAATGACAAAATATCCAAAAATGAAAAATTATCCGATTTCAAATTGGTATTGAATGATAAATATTTCAAAATATCTATTTCTCTTATTGATATTTTGAATTTTTTCACTCAATTTATATTTCAAAAATTTACCACTTTGAAATAAATTAAAAGGCGAAAGAAAGGAAAAGAAAAATAATGCAGTAGATGAGAAAATATTCAATGTTCTTTAAGAGAGACAAATCTAGAAACAACAAAAATAAGAGCAATAAAAAGGCTCCCCCATAAAATGTCGAATCCATATAATGGCGAACCCATAAAATGGCGAAACGGCCAAAAACGCACAAAATGTCAAATCCCATATAATGTCAAATCATAAAATGTCAAATAATACTATAAACCCACAAAATGTCAAAAAAGGCAATAAACCCACAAAATGTCAAATAAGGCAAAATTTTAAAAATTTTAAAAAATTGATAACAAACGCAAAAAACCTAAAAAGAGAAATGCCGTTTTAAAAATTGTATTGAGCAAAATTAAAATGGAAAAATAAAACAATTTTATTCATAAAAACACCGAATTGATAACACAGGATAAGTAGATAAATCAATACAATTACCGAATAATAATTAAAAATCACTAAAAACAAAACAAAAAACCTGAAAAATTATAACTATTTTCATTAACTTCTTGTATTTCATGTACATGGACCCCTCTTTGAAAAGCTTCTGATCCCAATTGCAATTCAATTTGAGTAATAACCACATGCGTTGACGCAAAATATGCGAGAGATGTTGACAGAATGCCTGGCGAAGAATTGACCACCAAACCAAATCCTCGTCTCACATATCTATAAGGCTCGGATTGTTGCTGTTCTTGATTAAATTCAGACGATTCATCGATTGGAAATCGCTGTTTTCTTGACTTCTGTAACTCGGCGAGTTTAAGCCTGATATCCATCTAAAAGATAAAATTAACCATCTTAGAAAAATTATTATAACAAATACAAGATGGGAAACAATTAATAACTTTTAATTGTCAAAAAACAATCAAAAGAAACAAAACAAATAAAAACAACAAATAAAAATTTTATCGCCATTATGTGGGTTTTTGCCCTTTTTGACATTTTATGGGTTCGACATTATATGATTTGACATTTTGTGTATTTATAGTATTATTTGACATTTTGTGGGTTTAATGCCTTTTTTGACATTTTGTGGGTTTATATTATTATTTGACATTTTATGGATTTGACATTATCTGCGGGGCCCAATAAAAATGAAGGCGCGATAGAAACTCAAATAGCGTTCTATTGGGAGAGATTTAGGCATTTTTCACATAATGGACGCCGGCTAAGATTTATGTTAGTTGCGGATTCTTCCTTTTCCCCTCCAATCCTCTTCTTCTGGCTACCTGCTTATATCTTCAATTCCGTTGTTCACAATGAAGAATAGTCTGCTTTCATTTTTGTTTTCACGGTTAAAATTAAAATATTTTTAAGTTTATTAATCAGTTTTTTTGGTAATTTCAAAAATTTTCTTATATTTTTAGCTTTACATAACTAGCACATTTAATTAAATTTTCCAAATGATCTAACTATCAATTTTCAACATCTTAAAAATTGTCTGCAACATGTTTATAAAAATGCGGATAAATCCGCAACTTTTTTCACTAGATTTTCACTTATTTTTTAGCCCGCAAACTCCTTTTCTCAGTTCTCCGCTATTTTTTCCATGTCGTCAGTGTCGCCTTTTTTACTTCGCCTTTTGCTATTATTTTTTTCTACCCTTTACTCTTACCCTTTCGTTGCGACCCAAATCCATCTGCCCAAGTCGCTAATGTTGCTCCTCCTACATTTACTCTTCCCTCTTAATAGTCCTCTTCGTATAAAATACCAAAACACCCGCCCATCACTCCTCGGAAGAAGGCTTCGTTTTTTTACATAGTCTTCTTATTTTACATCCAAATATTAACTTTTTTATAAAATAACATTTGAATATTTTATTTTTTTTAGATCCGACATTCGTATTTTTTTCTAATTACTTCTTATTAGACGAAAAAATTGAAATGGATGAGCGTATAAAAAAAGAACTTAACGGTATTTATTTCTATCAAATATTAAAGCTTAAAATATAAATTAATCAATTTAGGCAAAAAGCCATCTGAGGTCCAAGATCTCCTTCTTGACAATTGCAAAGCAACTAGCATTAGCGGTTTGACCGATGAATTTACACAATTGACAACACTTTCTTTGATTAATGTTGGACTGAACTCGCTTGATGGTTTGCCTAAGGTAATTCTTTTTGAAATATTTTGTAATATACTCTCTTTTCGGCAAATAGGCTTTGATTTTTAGTTAATGACAGGGCTCCTTTGATGTTAGGCAACATTTATATCATAACCTTAACGTTTTTCTTGATTCTGTTGTTTTTTTCTTTCTTTGAATATAATTTTTAATTGACCGAAGAAATTCTTGTTATTTTAGCTTCCAGCTCTACGTACAATCGATCTCAGTGACAATAAATTGACTGGCGGTTTGGAAAAACTTGCGCAGAACTGTCCGCGTCTCTATCATCTAAATTTGTGTGCTAACAAAATTGAAGTCAATTTTTATATTTTTTTGAAGCCTTGTTTGTATATAATTTAATTTTTATTTTTAAGACAATCAAAACACTTGAGCCACTTAAGGAACTTTCAGAATTGACAGCGTTAGATTTATTTGATTGTAGTGTAACGGTTTGTTTTGAATAGTTAACATTTTATATTTTAATTTTAAGGAGCTTCCACAGTACCGAAAGGATGTTTTCACTCTGTTGCCACAAATTAGATATTTGGACGGTTTTGATGTAAATGATGGTAATTAAATAAATTTTTGGTTATTTAAGAAAAAAATTTTAGAAGAAGCAGATCTTTCAGATGACTTTGGAGGAGCTGAGGATGCTGGGATTGGCGTTGAGGAGGGTTCTGATGAGGATGAATTTGACAGTCACGATGAAGAGGAACTTGCCTATTTAAATTCTTCTAAAGCTGTTCAGGATGAGGACGAATCAGAGGATTATGTTGATAAGGCAAAAATGGCTACGGCTAATGGAGAGAAGAAAAATGGCGCTGGTAATGTTCCAAAGGAAGCAGTTGCCGCTGAAAATAACAATAATGCGAGAGTTTGTTTTTTTCTTTCATTTTTGGTTTAAAATGAAAATTTTTTCAGAAGCGCAAGCTCGAAGAAGCTTCTGGAGAAAATGCTGATGGTGAGCCTAAAACTAAAGTTTGAAGATTTGAGAATAAAAAGACTAACGAGGCGGACAATAAAACACTAAAAACACTCATTACACTATTTTAAAAGTTTAATTAATTCGGAAAAGACTTTTTTTTGGATTTTTTAAGAATTTAAAATTATTTTTTTATTACAAAAATATTTTTATAAAAATATTTTTGTAATAAATGAGTGTTTATTTGGGGGTATGTTTTTTTATTTTTAGATATTTTGCACATTTCCGATATTTTTAAAATTTAATTCTCATTTTTTAATATATTTTTCTGTTTTTACATTGTTATTTTCTAAATTGAAGTTACCACTACATAAACAGACTTATGCACAATTTATTTTTTAAATTTTTTTGTGCCACTTAATATATAAAAGTGATCATTTTTGATGATCACTTTTAATAAATGTTTTTGCATAAATAATGAATTTTAAATCAGTTTTTAGACAATTTTTATTAAAATTCACATTTATGCATCAACTTTTCACCTTCCCTCAATCTCTATTATGGATAACAACCACACTTTAACGTATTAAATGGTTATTTTGTTTGTTTTTGTGTTTTATTTTAATATGTTTATCGAGAACATTTAAATTTTTTTAATAATATTAAAAAAATTACTAAAATTTTGGGGAAATTTTTATTTAATTTAACTGACTGAGGACAAAAAGTAGTAATTGTAAGACAATTTTTTCCTAGACAAAAGGTCTGTCTCATGGTTAATAGTAGAGCTCTAGCTTTGAATTATGCTTCGATTTCTTAATGAATGAGGCAGATTTCTAGGTTGTTTTGTATATTAAGGTTGATTTACAATGATGAGTCCCTAACATTCTGATACACAATAATAAAAAATTGAAGTTTAGTTTTCTGAGATTTAATATTCTGTGTGAGAAAAATTTATTTTTTTATTCATTTATTGGTTTCCCTGTTTAAATTAAATCTCTTTTCAATTAAGTCTAAAACATTTCAACGATAAAAATGAGAAAAAGAGTATGTGTGTATGTGTGTATGTATGTAGTATATACTTGACAAAAGAATGTACCTTGAATAAATGAATGAAATGATTCATTCAATTCATTCACATTTTTATTCTCCTTTCAAAACCATTCATCCGTCACAATACATATTTGAAAGGGAAATTAACGCTTCGATCTGATTAAATAAATTTTTAATAGAAAAATCGGCATTTTTTGCAACAAATTTGGTTTTTTAAGACGGAAATTTTACAATTATGGTGAGTAAAAATTATTTTTAAATAGAAATTATTAGTGAATAGCCGTTTAGGTTAGGGTATTTCCTTTAATATTTTCGACATTAAATTAATAGAATTATGTAACTGGTTAATAGTCAAAATTAAGTCTCGTACCTTTATCTATCCCAATTAAAATCTCCAGAATTATAGGATATAACAATTTTTGCCTTTTAAATTATTAATGAAAGTTGTGAAAATAAGTTACCGTTTTTATTCTAATTAAATGGCCTCTCCAATTGAATGACTGGACCTATTTTGGGGAATAAATACGGTATTTGGTGTAATTAAATGAGCTGATCTTGAATATGTGCTTATTAAATTAATTTTTAAATAAAGATTTTCTCAAATTTAAGCCTTCTGTTCCCCACTGGCAAAAACGAAATGCGGCAGCTGGAGTGGAGGATATGGTCTTACTTCGACAATTAAATGATGATGCTATTGTTGAGAATTTACGTAAAAGGCTGGCTGCTCGTTTAATTTTTGTAGGAATTTTTCTTCAAAATTAATAATTATTCTCTTTTTATATTTAAAGACATATATTGGACCTGTACTTGTTAGTGTTAATCCTTTTGCTGATGTTCAAAAATTTGGAGAAACGGAAATGGAACAATATCAAGGTTAACGAATTTTTCTTTGAAATCCCCCTTGGAAATTTTTTTTTTAATTTTTAGGCGCTGCCCAATACGAAAATCCTCCACACATTTTTTCATTAGCCGACTCAATGTTTCGCAACCTCATGATTGACCGGGAACGTCAATGTGTTATAATTTCGGGCGAAAGTGGGGCAGGTAAAACTGTTGCTGCCAAACATATTGTAAAATTGAAAAAAATTTTTACAAAGACTAAATAATTTTTAAATTTAGATGTCCTATTTAGCTCATTCTTCTGGTGGTGGTCAACGTGTGCAGGGCCTAAAGGAGACTATATTAAAGACAAATCCTTTGTTAGAAGCATTTGGGAATGCTGCAACTATGCGGAATTGGAATTCTAGCAGGTTGGAGGGTTTTTTTGGGAAATTTATAGAAGAAAATAATAGGGCTTGTGATTTTGAACTAAAAATTTTTCCTTTATTAAAATTCTCCTTTTACGAATTTTTAAAATCTCCATTCACAGATTTGGTAAATATGTCGAAATAGTCTTTAGTCTTGGTGGAGAACCTTTGGGTGGACGAATTTCTTCATTTTTATTAGAAAAATCTCGAGTTGCTCAAACAGCAAGAGGAGAAAGAAATTTTCATATTTTTTACCAATTAATTGAGGGAGCCGATAAAGAATTGAGTAAAGCATTTGGATTGGCTAAAGCAACAAATTATAATTATTTAAATTGTTCTGATTGTTATGAAGCTGAAAATACAAATGATGGACGTTCTTTTGTTGAAACTAAAGTATAAATTTTAAAAATTTAATTTTTGACTTGAACAATTATTTTTATGGAATTGCTGCCCTTATATAAATTTTATAAAATAATTTTTAAGGATGCAATGACTGCAATAGGATTAGACGAAAATATTCAACGTCAATGTTTGTCTGTTGTGGCAGCCACACTTCATATTGGAAATATTAATTTTGTGGAGTCTGATGGGGATGGATTTGCTACTATTGCTGATGAACAATGTTTTTATTTTTAAAAATATTTTTACAAAATTTTTTTAGTTTTGCAATTTCCTGCATTTCTTTTGGGAATAACGCCTGAAGCAATTAAAGTAATTTAATTTTTGAAATTTATAAAAATTAATTTTTAGGAGAATTTAACTCGCCGTCAACTCCAATCCAAATGGGGTAAAAATATTGAGCAAGTGGAGGTTAGGCACAACAAAGAACAGGTTAAAATATTAAATATAAATTTATTTTTTTTAAATTTTAATTTAAGGCAGCATATACCAGAAATGCTTGGGCTAAAGCTCTTTACTCAAAACTTTTTGAATTTTTAGGTTTTCTTTAAAATTTAATTTTAAATTATTAATTTAGTTACTTCTGTCAATCGAGCATTAAATGTTGATGATAGACGACATTCTTTAGATTTGTCAATTGGTGTGTTGGATATTTACGGATTTGAAGTTTTTGAATGGAATGGATTTGAACAATTTTGGTATTTAATTAAAAATATTTTTTTAATTATTTTTTAGCATTAATTTTGTGAATGAAAAACTCCAGCAAATTTTTATTGAATTAACTTTAAAAGCAGAACAAGAAGAATATATGGCTGAAGGTATTCAATGGACAACTGTAGAATTCTTTAATAACAAAATTGTTTGTGATTTAATTGAAGCAAAAAGGCCACCAGGTTTTTTTTTCAAAAAAGAGCCACCATTTTTTGATAGCAAAAGAAGTTTTTAATTTTTAAGGTATTATGCCAATTCTTGACGATGTTTGTGCCCAAATCCACGGCCAGAGTGACGGCGTTGACATTTTAATGTTAAACAAATTATCAAAACAATTACTTGGACACGAACATTTCCGTCCTGGATCTGATAACTTTTTAGTTCGTCATTATGCCGGTGAAGTACTCTATCAAGTTGAAGGTTTTTGTGATAGAAATCGAGATATTTTACATTCTGATTTGGTTCATTTGATGTTGGGAAGTAAAAAGTTTGTGAAATTAATTTAGAAAATAAAAATATTTTATTTTAGTCCATTTATGCGTCAATTATTTGAGGGATGTATTCCATCAGATCCAAATAAAAAGCCAACTAGTGCTTCTTCAAAAATTCGAGTAATTTATTTTTAAGTTTATTAAATTTATTTTTTCTAGAGTCAAGCCAATCATTTAATGGAATCTTTAATGTGTTGTGTGCCTCATTATGTGCGTTGTATTAAACCAAATGAAAGAAAACGGGCACTTGATTTTGATGAAGAAAGGTTATTTTAATTTGGATTTTTGGAAAGGAGTATTTGTGATTTTCTTTATTTTATTAACAAGGAATCATATCGAACTGTTACTAAAAATATCGTAATTATTTCTATATAGAGAAGGGTCGATTTCCTAGTGCCAGATTTTTTCTTTTTCGGCCCCACCCCCACCCCCCCTCCCCCAAATAGGAAGGTTATGGGGCTTCAAGGTTTTCGACTTCTTTTGAGCGTTAATTGCCCTCACGGTATGGTTCCTTTTAGGAATCTAACTTGGTTTTGGGGCTTAAAAGTATAGAGTTTACAATAAGAACATTTTATAATATTCCTGAATATAAGCACTAATCTTAATTAATTTTTAAGAGTTTTGCATCAAGTCCGCTATCTTGGTCTTCGAGAAAATATTCGCGTTCGTCGGGCTGGTTTTGCTTATCGTCGACTTTTTGAGCGTTTTATTTGGAGATATTCAATAATTTGTAAAGGAAGTGAAAATAAATTAAAAAAGTATTTTTTTGATAAATTTAAAATTATAATTTAAAAAAAAACAGTAAAGATCCCCGTCATGATTGTGAAATTATTTGTGAAACTGCCCAAATTTCTCCCGAAGAATTTCGACTCGGGAACACAAAAATATTTATTAGAAGTCCAGAATCTTTGTTTCTTTTAGAAGAAGCGAGGGAAAGACGTTTTGATGCTTTTGCTAGAATTATTCAAAGAATATTTAAAAGATTTGCTGCAAAAAGGAATTTAAGGAAACAAAAAGTAAATTTAATTTTTTTGTAAAAATGAGGCTTTATTAGTGTTTAAAAATTAATTTTTTTTTATATTTAGGACGAAGCAAGTGAACTTTACAGAGGTTTAAAAGAAAGAAATCGTCACTCATTGGAACGTCGCTTTGTTGCTGGTAATTTGAAATCTTTTAAAATTAAAAAAAATAATAATTTTTTAAAGATTATATCGGTCTAGACCACCATCCAGGACTTCAAGCAATTGTTGGGGGAAGACGTGAACGTATTTTCTTTGCTGCAAGTGTTACTAAATACGATAGACGTTTTAAAGTTAATTTAAAATAATTTCTTTAATTTTTAAAAATTAATTTAGCCAACAAGGACAGACCTTTTATTGACTACAAAAGCAATTTTTCTTGTTGGCCGTGAGGCTTTAAAGGAAGGAACAAATGCTGGGAAAATGGTAGAATCACTAAAAAGGTAAAAGAAAAAATAATTACAATTGGACTTTAACTGTAAGAATACTAGTAGGTATATTTCTCGGAACTGTAAAAATTTTTACTTTTGTTACCTATTTTTGTTTCTTGCAACTAAGTTTTTACAACCTAAAAATCTGAGCCCTAAATATAATCCATTATTGCGAGTATTATTAGCAGATCCCTTCTTCTAGTCATTGTTCAAATCTTTTAGTGGTGGTCAACTTTTATAAAATAAAAATTTTTTATTTAGAAAAATTCCTTTTGCCTCATTAAATGCTGTTTTGGTTAGTTCATTTCAAGATGATTTTTTATTGTTAGTTGTTACTTCTGAATATTCAAGTCTTTTGGAAACACCTTTAAAAACTGAATTTTTGGCTGCTTTAAAGTAATTTAAATTAAATTAAATTCAAAAATAATTTTAATTTTTTCAGTAAACGTTTAAAAGAAAATTTCCGTCAATCTTCTCTTCCATTACAAATTACAGATAAATTTATTATTCAATTAAAACAATTACGTCCAGCAATGTTACCCAATGCTTTCCCAAAAGCTGCTATTTCTTTATTTACTGGAGGAAATGAAAGAATTGTTGAATTTAGAAAAGAAAAGTTTAGAAAATAAAATTTTAAAAATAATTTAAAAAAATTTAATTATTTTTAGGAGACACAACAACAAGGTCGTCGAACTATTTTGGTTCCAAATGGAAAAATACTTAATATTTTGGTTATTGATGGATTATCTCCAAATAGCAGTAAGTTTTTAAATAAATAAACTGAATTTAAAAAATTCTACCTCAATTTTTAAGAGCCATCTAGTAATTACAAAATTTCATCAAACGGTATTTCTAATCAAATAAACAATTTAAATAAACAACACAATTTAATTTCTAACAAAAATAATATTTCAAATCAACAAATAAAACAAAAAGCAGCAGCCCCTCCACCACTTAAACCAAAACCTATGGTAAAAATAATAGTTCTAAATTTAGAGACATTTTACTTAATCACTCTTTCTTGGTGGTTTTGAGGGATTTTTAAATAATAAAAATATTCCATTGTGATGGGCTTTTAAAATATTAAATTTTAATTGCCAAACTTTAAATAGACAAAGCCCAAATCCCACGCATAATTTTAATAACCCCCATCTCGAAACAAATAAGAAAGAACGTTGATTAATAATCCTCCACCACATTTTCAGGTAAAACCAATAACTTCAAATCCCGTTCTTCGTGCTATATATCCTTATGAAGCTCAAGATATCGATGAACTTTCTTTCACAAAAGACCAATTAATTGAATTAATCGAAAAGGATGAATCTGGTTGGTGGACAGGTCGATTAATGGTTCAAGGAGGGAAAACTGGTCTTTTACCAGCAAATTATGTTGAAGAAGTTAAATTGTAAAGAAAGGATTTAATTAAAATTAAATTTATTTAATTACTTTTTTACATATCTTAAAAACGACTCATATTTTTCCTGTGATTTTAATTTTTTTTGACCCAAAATATTTTTTCTTTTATTGCTTTTATTTTTTTAAATAATTTTCACTTAACAATTCTATGCTCATTTTATTCCTTTTTAATTTTTATAAAACCTTGCATTTAATAATTTTTATATTGAATTTAAAAATAAAATTCCTAAAATGATTGACCCAAATTCTTACATAATTTCATTTACAAACAAGTTGCTTTTACTTACATAATCATAAATTAAAATTTCTTGAATATTCTCCGCAAAAATCAATTTTTAGTTACGCTGTCCTTTTGTATTCTTAAAAAGCCTACCATTAATTTAATTAAAATAATTATTTTTAATTTACAGTCCAAAATGACTGCTACAAAAATTTTAAAAAATCAAAAAGGCGAAGGCGGCCCAAAAGTTTTATTAAATTCTGGCCACCTAATTCCATTAATTGGATTAGGTACTTATAAAATTGTTGACCAAACACTGATGGATTCTTCTGTGGATGCTGCCCTCAAATGTGGCTATAGATTCTTTGATACTGCAAAATTGTATCAAAATGAGAAGCAGCTGGGCAACAGCCTTGAAGTATGGAATAATTTTTTAGAATAAGCGAGAAAGCCTCAAAATCGTTGAAAAATATTTTTCATAATTTGTGGATTTCTCACGGAAACTTTGGAAAAATTATTTTGATTTAGATATTTTTTGTAGTCAAAATCATTTATTTACTAGCATCTAACCTCCCAATAACAAAAACTAAAATTTTTATTTTCTTAGAAATTACTTCCAAAATATGGATTAAATCGTGAAGATGTATTTCTTCTAACCAAATTTTCTCCCTTCCCTGCTGAAAAAGCTAGTGAAGAAGTGCCAAAATTAATTGAGGAATCCTTGGAAATTTTAAAAACAAAGTTTTTCTATTTAATTTTTAAAAATATTTTTAATTAAAAAGTTATATTGATTTGGTATTAATTCATTGTCCAAAGCCTGATGAAAATAAAAATGAAGACAAAGAAGGGAATAGTGCTAGTCGAAAAATAAATTGGCAGGCACTTGAAAACCTTTCTGGTTTTCTAAAAAATTTTTCTTAAAAATAAAAAATAAAAATTTTTAGAAGAAAAAGTACATTCAATTGGGGTGTCTAATTATGAAGTTTGCCATTTAGAAGAAATGAATAAATATTTAAATAAAAAGCCGGCAGTTAATCAAATTGAATTTCATCCTCATTTTCGAAGAAATGAAATTAGAGAATTTTGTAAAAATGAGGGAATTCATTTACAAGTTTTTTCGAGGATAAATACAAACAAAAATTATTAAGGCATTTTCTCCAATGGCCAGACAACAACCAGAATTATTAAATGATCCGGTGGTGAAAAGAATAACGGAGGAACACAAAACAACTCCTCAAGTTAAAATAAAATATTTTTTTGTAAATTATACTTTAAATTACAGAAAGTGCTGTTATCTTTTGCTATTTCACAAGGTCTAAAAAAGATTTTTACCTCACTAATAAAGAAAAAAAGAAAGTCTTATTTTTAATTTAAGGAATCGGAGTTGTACCAAAATCATCAAACCCAGAATGGATTTGCTCTAATTTTGACTCGTTGGATTTAAAATTAACAGTTAAAGATTTAGATGAATTAAATAATATTCAAATTAATAAAAACTATATTCGCCCAACACCCTGGCTGGTTCTTTAAATTTTCTCTAAAAAATATTTATTTTCTTATTAATTATTTATATTTTTGCGACTTAAAATTGTGAATTAAAATTTAAAAAAATCACTAACTTTTAGTAAAATTAATTTTACATAAATTCTAAATAAAAAAAAAGAGAGGTGTAAATATATTTGGAATTTTCTAAAAGATATTAATTGATAAAAGAATTTTGAGGAAGAATATCCTAATTAATTTCTAAATATACAAACAAAACAAAAAAGGAATGTGAAGGGGGAGAAAAGTTAAAGATTTAAAAAATATTAAATTAAAAAATATAGTATAAAAAATATTTAGTAGATATTAAAATATAAGTAAGATGGGGGGAGGGGGAGGTGATTGGGGAGGTATCGTGTTATCTCGCCAAAAGCTTGACTCGCCATAGCTTGACTCGCCAAAAGCTTGACTCGCCAAAGCTTGACTCGCCAAAAGCTTGTTTCGCCAAACCCCCAGAAGCTGTTGACTCGCCAAACCGTGGAAAAAAGCTTGTTTCGCCAAACCCCCAAAAGCTGTTGAATCGCCAAACTGTGGAAAAAAGCTTGTTTTGCCAAATAAATACCAAAACTTATTATTATTCAATTTGTTAATAAAACTGTGGAATTTTTTATTATTTACCTCGCGGCGGAATAACCTGTTGCTTTTAGCCTGTTGGTTTTTAGTCTTCGCTGGAAAAACTGTTTTTGTGCCAGGCTGATTTTTGGGTTCAAAAATTCGATTATACAGATGATACCTCATTCGATAGTGCTCGACGAGCTGAGTCGAATGACACCAAAATCAGCTCGGTTGGATGATTCTGAACCGAATTATAACCAACTGAATCTTCGCTGGAAAAACTGTTTTTGTGCTGCTACGGAGGGTAGGCCGGGCATGGTCTTCGCTACACGATGGCCGTGCTTCGCTGCGGTCGTGCTCGCTTCGCTCGCGGCGTCCGTAGCGAAGCGGCGGCCGTCGTTCCGCTCGACATGCCCGGCTTCCTCCGCAGCGGCAAAAACTTTTTTCCGCGAAAACCTTATGTGAAAGGTTTCCACACTTTGTATTATGAAGGATTTTGGAGGAGGATTATATTATACACAAAGAGGAGTTTTATAAAATTTTTCTACAGTTTGGCAATTCAACAGCTTTTGGGGGTTTGGCAAGACAAGCTTTTTACCACGGTTTGGCAATTCAACAGCTTTTGGGGGTTTGGCAAGACAAGCTTTTTTCCACGGTTTGGCGAGTCAACAGCTTTTGGGGGTTTGGCAAGACAAGCTTTTTTCCACGGTTTGGCGAGTCAACAGCTTTTGGGGGTTTGGCAAGACAAGCTTTTGGCGAGATAAAACGTGCCGGATTGGGGAAGGCCAACATACAACACCCAACGTTCGAGTATTTATACTAAAAAAGATAGATGCAAATGTTACACAGATTACAATTTAATTCCCTTAGTTCCTTAAAAAATTTAAAAAAGTATTCCCATGTCGAAAACAAGTGTGGTATGTTGGTGGAAAGACAAATACAATTATTAAAAAATGGAAGGTAATTTAAGAGCTTTAATAAAATCCAAGTGACCGCTTCGAAATGACAAAAAATTTCAATTTTACAAAGTTACCAACCTACTTACATCAAAGTTTTGTGAATCATGAGTGCATAGTTAAAGAACTAAATCTGTGGCTAATTGTTTGCCAACTCAATTCTGATGTATTTATGCCTTGAATACCCGTTAGGCAAGGCCAATGTTTTTTATGAACAGCAATTACCTAAAAATGAATTTTAAAATAAAAAATTCCCCTTTCTTATACTTTTTGAATTGTTTCCTGTGCTGATTGATTTGGAATTTGTTCAAGGGTTTCACTACTTAATTGGCCTACAAAATCAGCAGCAGCACTTTCAGTTGAGCAAAGAGCCTAAATAAATAGATAAAAATTTTAAATAATTTATTATTTTTTTACTTTAACACATTCCTCCGCTGCATCACAAATTGAAGAAAGATCATAACCACCCTCTAATGCTAAAACTACACGTCCATTAGCAAATTGGCGTAGAGTACGAGTTAAATAGCCAAACAATTTTGGTGATAAATTGTACCTATAATTGAAAAGGATTTAGAATGATCTATTATTTAATATACAAACCCTCCAAGAGCAGCTGCATGACCTTTTGTAGCATCAAAACCGGCAGATACTAAAATAAATTCTGGCTTAAACGCATCCAAAAGAGGAAGAACAAGTACACGCCAAGCAGCACTTAAATAAAATTATTAATTCCAAAATCATATAAAATCACTAACAGATATTCAGCATCTCCCATAATATCACCACTAAATGGAATATTGACAGTAGTTCCCTTCCCTGCACCAACTCCTATTTCTGTAACTGCTCCAGTACCTAAAAATAATTTTTATAAAACTAAAAGATAATTTTAAAAAATACCAGGAAAGAAATTTCCATTATCATGTCGATGCAAACTCAGATATAAACAATTTGGATCGGACTCAAAACAAAGTTGTGTACCATTTCCATGATGAACGTCCCAATCGATGATTGCAATACGCGGGGGAGAAAGTGAGGGACCATTACTAAAACGTTGTTGAAGATAACGAGCAGCAATTGCAACCTTTTTTAATTAAAATATTAAGAAATTTGGCAAGTTAAAATCTCCTACATTATTAAAAAAGCAGAATCCCATTGCCTGTTCCTTTTCTGCGTGATGACCAGGAGGACGAATACAAGCAAAACCATTCTTTAGTTTACCTTCCATTACTTGACAACATAATTCAATAAGAGCTCCAACAGCCATTTTTGCAGCGGTCTGTGTACTGGCATCGTTAAAATAAGTATCAGAGTCTACGCCAATACCACCACATGGCAACTTAAATAAATTATTTTGAGAAGAATAAAAAAATAATTACCTGAACAAAACTTTTAAGCGGCAACTCTGCAGGATCCAATTTAAGACAAGCAGTGGGAGAAATCGCAAAGAATGTAACATATGTAGGTGAATGAACAAGACGAAGTACCTCTAAAGGCGCTTTTCGAATGCTAATAAATTTTAAGAAATGGAATTTTTAAAATGTAAAAACTTACTTAACTCTCTCACAGGCAGATACAAGCCCTGATTCGATCAGTCTTGACCAAATGGATTGAACACGACCACCATGCTTTAATTATAATTGAATGAAAAATATATACCGAAAATGGTTAAGTTAAAGCTATATTTTTTCTCTTACGAAAAATAAACTCTGATTTTATAATTCATATAGCTCATTTATTTGTAAAGTTACCTCAACATGATTTCCATTTTCTGCGCAAAGACACTGATGCTTATACATTGCTTGGTCATAAGCAAGTCCTAAAGTTTTAATTTAAAAAATTTTAATTGCAATAAAATAAACAAACCAGTTTTTAGGTTTTGGCCAACAATATTCATCAAAGCATTAGAATTAGCATCAGTTGTTTCAGCACCAACTCCTTTCTGTGACGCTATTGGTCCTAGGCTGCTTGTAAAGTCCATAAGAGTATCATCCTCCGGTTCTTCGCGGACAAGTGATTTGCGTCGAAGTACCAGATCTCGTAATTGTTGCTTCAAAAGAGAAGGATATCCTCCAAGTGAAGGCATTTGAGGTGCAGGAGCAGCAAGAGTACGATTATCAAAGCGGACTTGGCGCTGCTGTTGTTGTTGAATTGGTGTCGAATTAAATGCTAAAAATTTAAAGTTAAATCTAAATAAAATTTAAGACCTGAATTAGAAGATGAAGCATTAGAATCCCCAGTACCTAAAAGAGAATGCGTCCCTCCACCTAAACCATAAGCTCCAACTCCACTATTCTCCATCAATATTGAATTAGTTGTTGGGGTAATTCCACCAGCACAACCTCCAGCTCCGCTTTTTAGAAGAGAGGGCATTGAAAGAAAATGATGCATTAATGTATTTTGTAAAGAAACAAGTCCATTAAGCATATCTTGTTGTTGTTGATTAGAAGTTCCGTTAGAATTCATTCCTTCTTCAACGCTAGTTTTGTGAATCGCATCGACTAAATTTTTATAATAAATTGGCTTGTAAAAAAATAAGCTTCGAATGTTGTGACTTATAGCGGGTTTTTTGTTTCTGAACCGATTTCGACAAATGAGGTGTCATTCGAAAGAGCTTCGAAAACTGAGTCGAACTAGATACGGGGGAAGTCGATCCGACAATCAGGGACCGAGTTACAGACCCCTGAAGTTTGAAAAAGAGAAGGGGGGAGTAAGCTCATTTTGGGGTGAAAAATTCGAAAATTCAAATAATAGCTCATTCGACTCAGCTCAACGAGCTGAGTCGAATGGCACCAAAATCAGCTCGATATCTTGATTCTGAGCCGAGATAAACAGGTTCAAAATGGTCAACATAAACCTACGGGGCGTAGGCGAGGCGCTTGTGCAAAACCCCGCGCTTCGCGCGGGGTTTTGCGGCACGCGTCTCGCGGGGAGTCTACGGGCGCTGGGTCTGGGCTCGTAACATAAACCTATTCTTATTTCCCTTGTTCTGGACATAATTGGGCCTCCGTAGCAGCAAAAACCTCCACATAGACCATAGGTAAGGAGCTAAAACAAACGATCATAACTTTGTCAAATCAAGTAGGATTTCGGTGATTTTGGTGCCATTCGACTCAGCTCGTCGAGCTGAGTCGAATGAGCTATTATTTGCATTTTCGAATTTTTCACCCCAATATGAGCTTACACCCCCTTCTCTTTTTCAATCTTCAGGGGTCTGTAACTCGGTCCCTGATTGTCGGATCGACTTCCCCCGTATCTAGTTCGACTCAATTTTCGAAGCACTTTCGAATGACACCTCATTTGTCGAAATCGGTTCAGAAACAAAAAACCCGCTATAAGTCACAATACCCTAAGTTTCTAACCTTTACCATGACCAGCAGCACCAAAGGAGGCAGTAATTGGCAAATTTGGTAAGGAAGGTGAAGGAACCATCATTAAATTAGAAGCTGCATCCAAATGGAAGGAATGAGGAGCATTGGTTGTTGTTGGCGTAGCAACATTTCCTCCACCTCCAGCCGCAGCTAAAGCCGCTGCTTGTTGCAAAAGTAAAGAAGCAGCTGCTGGATCTATCCCCGAAGAGGAGGTATTTGTTGAAGCAGAAGCGCCTGCAGAAGAATCACCGTTCAACTCGTTATCTGGCCTAGAAATTTAAAAAATGAAAGGAAAAAACAAAAATTAAAACCTCTGTTGTAGTGCATTATGTGAAGGAAATACAATAGCTTGTGGAGGTGGAACATTAGAAGGAACAGTAGTTTGCTGATGTGGACTCGAGCCTTTATTCAACAGTCGTGCTCTAATGCGCATTTTGAGGTTAGGCTCGCTGTTCACCTTTCGTAATTGAAATTCTGCAGCAGAAAGAGAAGAGAAATTTGGAACATCTGAAGAATCTCCAGATGCGTAATCATTTGAAGGACGTGAAGGATGAGTTGGGTGCGGATATGGCAAAAATCTGAATTTCAAAAGACTATTAGACATTCCTTTTTAACAAGTGAAACCTTTGATCGACATGTGAAGTATTAACAAGTGTAACAGGAATTGAAGATGTATCACTTCCGCTAGGCAAATTTGATTCTGAAGTTGCACCAATTGCTCGAGACGTCCAATTTGGCGCTACTCCATTAAAAGAAGAAGAAGAGGTGGTAGCAGCAGCAGCTATATTTGAAGAGGAACCAGTAGAGCTGGAGGTATGTAATCGCTGCCTCTGCTTTTTGATTGCAATCCTAAAAGTTAAATTTGTGAGAAATCCGCAAGATTTATCCGCAAATATTTAAATTTGCAGATTTTTACATTAAAATTCATACATGGACTTCAACCGGTCCCTTGTATGTTGAGAAATTGTCTGGCCAGACCCACTGAACGTTCGACGATTTCGAGCTGTAGCAGCAACAGTGTTAGTGCTGACATGCTCTTTATTTATTGCCAACGGGACAGAATTACAGGAAGTTGGCTGTTGTTGAGGATGAATTTTTGGCGATTGTTGTTGTTGTGTTGCTGCAGCAACAGCAGCAGCAGCGGCCGCACAAATTTTTTGTCGATCAGTTTTAACGTCCGATTCATCGTTGGACAGATCAGTACTTGATTGTTGTTGTTGTTGAGAGAGTGCTGGAGTTTGTTGTTGCTTTAACGATAAATTTTATTGAAAATAAATTTAAAACGAAAAAACCTGTTGTTGCTGTAAAACAACCATTGCAGCAGCCGCGGGGAGTGCAGACTGTAACAACTGTAAATTGAGCAGATAATCCTGTTGGGCTAAAGTTTGGGTATGCTGGAATTGTGCAAGGAGTTCAGCATGTCGACGTTGATAAAACTTAAAAAAAATAAAAAATTTTTTTGGAGGAAAAATATTAAAAAATGGTGACAGGAAAATAAAACAAAAATTTTAAAGAAAACCTCTTGTAGCATTGCCAACCGTTCATCAATTGGAACCCCATCAGTAACTGGCAATACTGGATCTTGTTGTAACTGTGAAGAATCATTTGTAGAACTTGAAGCTGAAGAATTATTTTCAATTGTTGTTGTAGTTGGAGGATTTTGTTCATCCATTTTTATTGTTGAAGAAGAAATAAATAATTTTTCTTTCAACTAAAAAATCTTTTTTTTCTCTTCTACTTTAAACGGACAATAATAAAAAGAATAAATATAAATGTATACAACAAATAAACATTTTTCTGTTGAAAGGCAAAAGAATTAAAATAAATATATAAAGGAGAAATAAAAGTAAAAGAATCAATATTTACAATTTTTTTTTAGTTTTTAATTATTTTATAAAAATTAAAAAAAATTTTTTTTTGGGGGGAGAGGAGGGGGGGGGGGTGGAGAAAAAGAATTTTTGGGGGAAGAAAGAAGAAGAAAAACTTTTTTGGGAGAAGGGGGGAGAAAAAGTTTTTTTGACGAATCGGTGTCTAATTTGCCTTTAAAGAACACTTCCTGTTTAAATGATAAGAAAAGGGAAGGGAAGAAATTTTGGAAGGAAGGAAAAGAGAAAATAAAAAAAAGTTTATTTAATTACGCAAATTATTTTTAAAAAAAAGTTGGAATTTATTTTAAAAAAACTAAAAATAATCTACTCCTAATTTGTTGTTTAACAAATTTATTCGTCACTAAAATGTGAATAATTTAAAATGTCATTTTTAGAGAGACGGGTTTGTTGCATTGTTTTACTTTAAATTTTTAGTTCTAAATACATATTTACATATTTAGGAGGCCCTTTTTTGATTAAAAATAGGGAAAAAATAAAAAAATAAAAAGAGAATATTTAAAAGAATTTAGGGTTTAATTAAAGGATGACAAACAAAAAATAAATTTTTGAAAATAAAATGAAAAATCGGTAAAATCTTTTAACAAGATATATTTTGCTTTAAAAATGTTGAAAAAAAAATAAAGAAAAAGAGAGAGTGTGTATGTTTGCAGTAAAACTAAAAATAAATATAATAATTTTTAACGTAAATATTTTTGTTAAAACTTTTTCTTCACGTAAAAATATCACAAGCATGGACAACCCAAACAAAACGAACACTTGTTTTTGGAGAAAGTGAAAAATAAATGGAGAGGGGGGGGGGGAAAGGGAGATTTAAAAACTTAGAGTTTTTCTCAAGCCTTTCTTGCTTCATCATTAGACTTTTATCTGTTTTTCTTCTTCTGCTTTAGCTAAAAAAGGGCGAGTTAGCGGTTGGTGGTGGTGGTGGTATTGCTGCCAGCGGCGAATTTACCGATGAAAGAAGCAAATGAAAACGACGACGTTTTTCAATAAAGGGAGGGAGAATATATGCTTCGAAGCTGTGGATTAAATGTGGAAAGAAAAGGAGAAGAAATGGGGGAATGGGTAGTTAGTTAGTTAGTTTGGTGTGTCTAAAAATAGAAACACTAGTGGCGGCTGGCTATAACAAACAAACAAACGGTAGAAAGGAGAGAGAGTAGAAAGTGGGGATATATGTAGATAGAGTTGTTATATTTAGTTGATAAATAGGAAAGACAAAAATAATATAGAAGAAATAACGTTCGAGAGTCCGCTGAAATTTTCACGACTATCTAACATTTAAAAATGTCTGGATGGAAAATTGAAACTAAATAGGCATCTAGGTAAATTACAGTATTTTTTGATTTTGTTAAAATTTTTCGACAAAATAAATTAAAACACGAAAACTGAAAAATTTTGGATTTTAAGAAAATAAGAAATTTTTAATTTTTTAAAATTCTGATCTTAAATATTTGGAGATTATTTTTTAACCTCAAATTTTATTTGTTCTTGGTTTTTTCCGATAGAATAGAACAATTTTGGGACATTAAATGTAAAAAAGATATTTATAGCTCAAGAATATATTCTCGAATAACTTTACTTATTTCTTTCCCTCTCTTTTTTCTCTAACTTTCATTTTCATTATTTTAAAATATCAGTCGATTCACCTCAATTCTTCCGCTTTTTTTTTGTTAGCACAAAGGTTCTAAAAATGGCCGAAATTCTTCCGAAAATAAATATTGAATAGAAAAAGAGGTTTTTTAAATTAGAAATTTAACTAAAAAAATAAATTATTTAAAAGAGATTTTTTTAGTGATTTTATTGTTATAAGTAGACTAAAAATAGGGTAGGAAGTTTTTTAATGAATTAAAGAAAAGATTTTTTAAAAAAGTGTTAAAATTAGAAAAAAAAAAGAAAAATCAAATGTTTAGTAAATGAACAAAGATTATAATAGGTATTTAGACTATTTTTAAAATTTTATTCTTCAATAATCCATCAATTGGAGTAAAAGTGCCCGAAGAAGACGAGCCTTTAAAAATAAAATTTGAAATGATGGGAAGAATTTGGATTCCGAGAAGAGAATAATCTGAACGGAGAATAAAATTTTGGATTCCGAGAAAGGAGATCAGAAAACATTTTTTGTATTTTAGGGTATTGGGGAGTGTTATTTAAAATAAATTTAAAAATAAATTACTTCGTGGCTAACCATTCTGACAATTTCTCCAGGCCGAACAGCAAAAAGATTTGCCTCAGTTGGTATTTCGTGTCCATGAGCTTTTAAATAGAAAAATATTTTAATTAAAAATATTTATTTATTTTACCTTCACAAGCCTCCAAAAATTGAAGACATTCAATTAAAACTTGAAAAATTTTTTTGAAAAATTTTTGAAAAAATAAAAAAACCATCATCGCGTATTACAATAACACATTTAGCAATATTTTCCATCAGTGAGGCTAAACCTAAATTAAAAAAATATTTTTAAAAATTATTTAGGAAATGCCGAAATGTAAAATTAGGGGATACAAACTAATTAAAATAATTAATTTTAATGACAAAAAGAATTTTCTTTTCAGTTCTAACAAAAATTTAAATTTTCAAAAATAATTTTCTTAAATTCAAAAAATTCTAATCCTTAATTAAAAAATAATTTTCTTACATCTTTTGCTGTAAAACCAAGTATCAACACCCAGTTTTCGTTCACAAGGTTCTAATGCTCTAACAATCCGGGAAATTCCAAATCTTTAAATTAAAAAAATTATTTTATTAGAAATTAATTATTAACTCGTAATTGCTTTTAGCACAATAAAGGGTTCCAATAACTAAATTGTAAAAAATAAAAATATATTTTAAATATAAAATTTGAATATTTTTAATTTAACAAAAACTTATAATTATTGAAAGATGAAAGGATTTCTTGTCAGTATTTACATTTTCTTCTCTTTCAACTCTTTTCATAATTTCTTCTGCTTCTTCATTACTATCTTTTTTTAATTTAATTAAAATTTAAAAATTAATTTATTTACTTGTCATTATATAACAAACACATAAATTAGCCAAAACAATTGCAGATACTTCCAACATCTTTTTTGTAAAAATTAATTATTTGTTTTTATTTTTCTTTTTTTTTTACCTTATCAAAATTGGCACGTACCAATGGGGCATAACAATCACTGAAAATGATAAAAATTTGTTTTTAAATAATTTAAAGTTTAAAAAATTCGCAGAGTACCCATTCGTAAATAATCCCATAACTTTTCTTTTATTAGAATAATACTTGGAGAAGTTATAATATTCGTGTAATGTTTTGTATGATAATTACAAAAATTATGTACTAAAGAGTTACAAAAATTAAAATTCAAGAGCTTTCCAAAATCATTTTAAAAATACCCCTCCTCTCCCCTTCAAAAATCAAAGTTTTAACTACCATTAATTCATCCCCTCTCCCAAAATATAAATTATTTAAATTAATTTACCTAGCTTCCTTAAATTTTTCTTGCATAAACAAAACATGTGCCAAATTTAATTTCCAAATATCATTTCCACTACAAAATTCGGCTGAACGCCTAAAAAGTTTTTCAATTAACGACCATTGTGATTTATCCCAAAGTAATTTTGCTTGAGATAAAAGTGAGGGTAAAAATTCTTCCATTGTTTGTTCAACATTATCTATTGCCTGTTGTAATGAACGAACATCTATATTTGTTTTTGTTGTTGTTACTCCATCATTTTCACGAATTTCCTTTAGAAAAATGAAATAAAAGATGGAGAAAAGCATCATTTTATACAAAACACTTTAAAGATTTCAGAATTTTATTTTATTTAAAAATCCGTCCATTCCCGTTACATTTAATATTTTAAAGACTTATCACAGATATATTTAAAGAAATACCTGTAAATGTTGATGTCTTTTGCGTAATTCAACAAGTTTTGAATTTGAAAGAGAATCAAATTTTGTATAAGCATCTGATTCAGAAGACTATAAAAAATTTAAAAAATAATTTAAAAATAAATTACTTGAAGTGTTATTAAAGCATCCAAATAATCAAATTGATACTTTTAAAAAATTAAAAAAAATTTTTTGAACAAAAAATACTTGTGAAAGCATTTTATATGTAAGATGTGCTAGAAATAAAGAGGAATAATTTTTAATTTATAAAAAAGAATAATTTTCACCATTTTCTGCAAGTACATCTGCTGCCAAGTCGTAATATTCATATCTGAAGAAATTTATATAAAATCAAAAAGGATGGAAGAAAAAACGAGGAATTAAACGGTCACTTTTTAATGTTCGTTCAATTATTGTCTAATTTTCCAAATCTTTTTTTATCGAGAAAGAAATCCGAATTTACAAAATAGGGTAAAATAAAACTTTCTGTTTAGAATTAATTTTAATTTATTTCTAATACTACTAGTTATTTAATAATTAAAATTTACTTGCAATATAACAACAATAAATTAGCAAAAGTTTCAGGTGGAAAGGGATTATGGCCGAGCAAATATTGAAGTTTAGAAAAACTGTCAGCCAAATTAGTTTCTACACCAATTAATGCCTAAAATAAATATTGGGGGTAGAGAAATTTAAAATTAATTTAAGTACTTGATTGTGTAAAGTAACAGGGTCAAGTTCTTCTTCAGCTCTTGCAGGCATATCTAATAAAGCTTCTGCTGCTGCATCCACTTAAAATTAACAAAAGATAATAAAATTGCATTTAAACTAAAAATTAGGAAAGAATGTCCATACAGATAAATTTCGGCAAATTTATGAGAGAGAGAGAATAGCCGATCATCCAAAACAAAGATTTATAAAAGGAACTGACAGGGAGACAAACTCGAAATTGTCTCGGTATCACAAACAACCTTTTCTTTTAATTAATATTTAATTTAAAAAAGCCCTTTCCAATTATTTAATTAAATTTCTTTTACCATTTTTCATTTGATATTCAATCGCAAATTTAAGATTACAAGCCTCTATAACAGCACTTTCATTTAATTGAAATGTGTTGCCAACAGAACGAAGTTGTGCCCCTCCACTTGCTTCCTCTGCTGCCATTCCAATTCCTAATTCTGAAAATTTTTTTAAATTTGAAAAAAAATTAAAAAAGAACCAGGATGATCCTTTACAGCTCTGTCGATAATTTCAGAAATCTGTTTAATTAAAAAAAAGATTTTTAATGAAAATGATTTTTCAGTATAACTAAAGAACGTATTTTGGAAGGGTTTTAATTTTTATAAATTAATCTGACTAATTTTTTCTCGAAGTTCTAGACACAATTCTTGCTTACTGCTAAAAAACAAAAACTTTAATTTTTCATTAAAAAACAAATTTCACTAGATTTTGTTAAACTTACCATACTCAAAGCTTGTGGAAAATTTCTCATTTGATAATGACAAAGAGCAATTGAATAGGTTAAATGATTCTAAGAATTAGAAAAAAATTATTTTATCATTAGAAGTACTTGATATCCAGAAGTATCATCAACATTTTGTTGTTCAGTTGCAGCCATAAAACGTTTAAGTGCTTCAGCTGGCTTTCCTTCCTACAAATTTTGAATTATTTTTGGAAAGTTTGTGTGTTAAGAAATGAGAGCTTGTTTGTAAAATAAAAATGAGAAAAATGAAGGGAAAATAAAAAATAAAGTCCAGCTTATTTATACAAACAAGCAGATCCTTTAATTTATTCTTTCTATCATTACAGAGAGATTTAATGTAATTAAAATTTTATAAAATATTTTTTAAAATTACCTTTAAATCCAAACATGCCAAATTTACCTAAAAATTTAAAAAAAAACGACTAAAAATTATAAAAAAATACTTCAATATCAGGATCGTCACTATCAAATTGTTCAACAAGAATTCGAGCATTTTGAAGGTCTTCTTCTCGATATTTAATTGCCGCATCTAATTTGACTACTTTCTTCTCCATTTTTGGATCATTTATCTAAGAAAAGCAAAATTTTGTAAAATTTTTAAAAATATATTTTTATACAAGTGCCAGAACAGAAACAGCTTCAGGAAACATATAAGCCTTTAAGAGAACAAAAAAATTAAATAAAATTATCTACTTTACATTATAGAGAGCCTGAGCATGATAAAGACGATAATCTGTATGTTGAGGATATAATTCACTAAGTTTTTCATAACATTCTGCTGCCATAATATAATCTATTAAAATTTTTTTTAATTGTCGAAAAAATTTTTTGAATTTCAAAATTTAAAAAAAAAATTAAATTTTTTTTCATTTGGCATTCTGTTTAAAATTAAAATTTTTTTAAAAATAAATTGGGTTAATTAAATTTTGAGTTTTTCTTAAGTAATTTTTATTTTAATGTTTTTAAGGATTATGTAACTCTATCTCTGTTATAAGTATATATATCAAACATATATATCAAATATATATCAAACAAAACCTTGAATATAATAATAACAATAACCAAGTAAAGATAACGCAGCTCTTGACTGTAATCGATAAATTAAAAAAAAATCCTTAAATTTTTTTAAACCTCCGGATTTCTTTGAACTTCATATTGTAAAACACGCATTGCGTCAGTGAATTTATTGTCTCGAATCTTTAAAAATATTTTGTTTGAACAAAATAATTTTTAAAATTATTTTACCATTCCATATATTGTACTTGTAAATTCCCCATCTTTAATTGGCATAAATGCCATATTTTGTGATTAATTTTATTTTTTTTTCTTTATTTAAATTTAAAAAATAATCTGAAGTTTATTAAATATTTTTAAATTTTATTTTCAACACTTTTACAATTATTTAACATGAAAATCTTTATTTCCTTGGCAACCAAATATTTTGAAAAATAAATATTTGGCATTTATTTAAAAAAATTTAAAAAAATTTCAAAGAAATATTCTAATTTTATTTAATTATTTTTTAGATTATTTATTTATTTTAATTTTTAAATGCCTGTAACAAAAGGAGTTGGCGCTGGATCATCTACTAGTGAATATATTTGTAGAGACTTGGGGGAATTTAAGGTTTTTTTAAAGTTTAAGTTCTTTAATTTTTAAAAAATTTTTTTTAGAAATTAATTGACAAACTTAGATCAGAAGAAGACAGAATAATATTTAAACTTAATTGTGAATTGCCAACTCGATCATTTTCTCGTCAATTGGATAAGAGAAAAATTTGTGAGAATGTTCACAAACAGGTAATTTTTAAAAAAGTTCGTTAGATGACCATGTCAGATTTTCTGATCAGGCCTGTAGCCAAGGGGAATTCCCTTCTCCCTGCGAAATAGAAAAAGGAAAAAATTTGGGGAAGGGGTGAAGAAAAAAGTGAATTTTTTGGCACGCTGTCTTCCAAAAAAATCGCCTGTTGCCCCTATGACCTCCCTAAAAATTTTCCTGGCTACGGGCCTGTTTCTGATAGTATGTTTCTGATGTTCCTTTTGTTTTTCCGTTAAATATCGATTTTTTGGTGAGGAGGAGTGAGTTAGATAGAGATTTTTGGCTTTTACTTTCATCCGGTTAATTTTTCTTTAAAAAATTCAAAGTTTTGACACAGCTTTTTATTCCCCGAAATCAACTTATCTCCCTGATCATTCTTGTCCTATAATCTTAACCAACTTTACTTTCAGTTACATCTTATTAGGAAAAATATCAAAAAATAATTTAACAAGAAATTAAAATTTTTTCTCCAATTTATTAGTTACTAGAAACAAGAAAAAGACGCGAGGATTTGCTTCAACGATGCATAAATGAAAATAGAGAAACACTTCTAAGGTATCGCAATGCTAATAAGCAGGAAGAGGAAGGTGCCAAAACTGTTACCTCAAAAGAAGAAATGTCAGCATATGCAAATGTAAAATGAATTTTTTAAATTAAAGATTTTAAATTTGATTTAATTAAAATGAAAATTTAACTTTTGATATTGAAGTGATTAAAGACGTCTTCATTTAAAATTTTTATTTTTTTAGCTCCGTTTGCTCAGGGAGGAAGCATCTGTTGAGGAAATTGTGCGTGTTCAGGCTGACAAAGCTTTGACTGACAGATGCCGAAAAGAATTGTTACTTCCATAATTAAAAGTCTTAAAGGAAAGGTTCTAAAATTTTGTTGTTAAAAATATTAAGGGAATTAAATGAAATTTATTTTATAAAACTTCAAATATTACAACCAGTTTTACAAAGTTCTCATGCCTATATAAATTACATAAACGTATAAAATCGTGCTTTCTTTGAAGGGAAAATTGTTTTAATTACTGACAGATTTTAAACAAAAATTAATTTCTACTAATTTTTTATACAATAAATATACAAAATTTGAAAAAAAATACAAAAGGATTAGACGTTAAAATAAGAAAATGAATGGGCATTTGAATTAATTTTCAGTTTTCAACCCTTTTGGGTATTTAATAATTTTTGAAAAGCAAATTTATTTAAAAAAACAAAAAAAGTCCCCCAATCATTCTCTCTTGGTATTTCCGTTTTAAATATTAGAAAAGAAATTACAAATAAATATTCAATAATTAAAAATAATTAAAAACCATGTAAAAGGACGGAAATACAAAAATTGTCAGAAAGAAATGAGCAAAAAGTTTAGGACTTGTATCACTGTGGTTTTGATTCTAATTCTTGGGTGCGTTGTCTAACTGCTTCAATTCTTTGTTTAAGCAATGAAGTACGCAAAAGAGCTGTCCTTTCAAGAGTTTTTATTGAATGAATATCTTTGTCCTTAAATTAAAAAAATTAAAAATTTGAAAAAAAAAGATTAAACAGTTGTTTAATTATTGAAAATATTTCCTATATCTAATTTTGAGTCATGATCAGTGTTCATAAATTTTAATTTTACTCATACTCGTACCACCCCTAATTTTGGCCTCGTACTTCGTGCCGGCCTAATTCTTTGCTCGTACTCGTATTTCGAACCAAAGTACGAGTACGAATTTTGGTACGAGCTTATGAACACTGGTTATGATTTTAGTTAATTAAAAAAACTATTCTAAAAATACCAATGCAAAAATAACGGCCATTTGTTTTGCCTGCCTATCTGCAGATTTTCTCATTTCAAAAGCAAAAGAATCAAAGCCCATAGCACGTCGACTACCTGACAAATCTGCTCTCCAAAATTTGGAGTATTTCTCTTCACAAAAGCCTTTAAAATTAAAAAAATAAAAATCTAAAATATTAAAAAAAACTTTCTGGTGCTGAAGAAGAAAAATTTTCAATCGGCCTTTTTTGCTGTTGCTGAGGAAATGATGGAGTTGAAGAACTATTTACTGTCACTGTTTGTGGTGCAGATGATGAACATGTTGGAATATTTCGAAGTGGTAATGGAGTTGAAGTCGAGGAAGTGGAAGGTGTAAAACAGAGAGAGGAAGCTAAAGTTTTTGGTATTTCTACTTTACACAATTGTTGGGGCGGTTTGACAGTTGAAGCTGAAAAATAAAATTAATTGAGGGATTAAAAAAGTTAAAAAATAAACGTGTATTTGACAGTTGAGAATTTTGCTTTTCTGGCATTCGTTTAAAAGGTTGTTGTAAATTTGGTAATGTCCCTGGTCGAAAAGTTGGAGGAGTAGAAGAAGGAGTAGATGTTGAACCTGTAGGTGTGGAATGCTTGTGAAGTTGTGGTTGTTGATGTTGTGGCATACGAATGGATGGTAATGATGAGGAAACTAAATAAATAATAAAAATTTTAAAATAAAATTGGTGTTGGGAATTAGAAAATGTAATAGCTGATCGAAAATTACAAAAATCTGTATTGAATCGCCCTATGTAACGAGTTAAAAAATATAAAATAAAATTTCTGGCACCGAGGAAGAAGTTTTCGAGCAACTATCAACCCACAAATTTAAACCATTTTAAAATTAATTAGTTTAATTTTCAGATTGATTAAAGAAATCCAACTCTAACAATCATAACTACCAGACATTTCAAAAAAATAATTAAAATTTATTAAATTAAAATCAGAAAAATCCTCTCTTATAATTAAAAACCTTTTTCATTCTCAATCGGAGGTTTTGTCTTCGGTGTTTGTTGTAAAGTAGAGTGATGGCTTCCATTATTGCCGTTACCATTTTTCAACCCAGCAGTAGCTCGTAATTTCTCTGCATGTTTCCATTCAGTTGGCTTTTCCCATTGCGAAATATTTGTAGCACTATTGTAGTAATAACTAAAAAATTTGGGGAAAATTAGGATAAAAATTGAGACAAAAAACCGTTTGCCAGAAGAACTAGTCTGTTCAGTCCACGTTCCAAATTCTTTTAAACGAGCAGTTAATGGTATTGTATCCTATTAAAAAATTATAAAATGAGGTAATAATGAAAGTAGAATTTTAAGTTGACAAGAATTCTAATTCTATTTAAAGGCAAGGATTTAATTAAACTCTATAAATAATTATAGAGTAATTAGCGCCCTTATTTCGTTGATGTTCATTAAAAATATTTTTAATAAAATCCACAAACCATTTTTTATGTTTTTGTTCTCAAAGAAATATTTAACAAATAATTTCAGATGATTAGAATTAACCTATAATGTTGAAGTCAATCGAGTGTTTTAATGATTCTAAAAAAGAAATATTTAAAAATTAAAAAAAACTTAATGACAAATAAGTGTAAAACAAATCTTGTTACATATTTAATTACATGTGTTAATAAGCCATAAAAAAAGTGTACATGCGCCTAAATGGTTGCGCCAGATGGCCCGCACAAAAACGACCGGAGGGCGAGTAAGTGACGAAAATGAAAAGAGTAGAAAGCGAGAGAGTGTGATGAGAATTTTCATTTAATTTTTTCCTGGGACACGCCCGAATAGTCGCGGGCCGAATAGTCGCGGCCGAAAAGTCGCGACCGAATAGTCGCCGGCCGAATAGTCGCGGGGCCATATAGTCGCCGGCCGAATAGTCGCCAAGCTTTTAATTAACACCCCTTCCTCAAGGCCTACGCGGAAAAAAGTTTTTGCCGCTGCGGAGGAAGCCGGGCATGTCGAGCGGAACGACGGCCGCCGCTTCGCTACGGTCGCCGCGAGCGCAGCGAGCACGACCGCAGCGAAGCACGGCCATCGTGTAGCGAAGACCATGCCCGGCCTACCCTCCGTAGCAGCACAAAAACAGTTTTTCCAGCGAAGATTCAGTTGACCATAACTTTGTTCATAATAATCCAATCGAGCTGATTTTGGTGTCAATCAACTCAGCTCGTCGAGCTCTTTCGAATGACATATAAATTGTCCAATTTTGAGTCTGGTACGAAAATTAGTTAGGCCGGCTTTTTAATTTTGGAAAATTTTTTGTGAAATTTCTGTTTTATAATTCAGCATGGTCCCATTTGATGGTCGTTGGGACCATTCTAATTGATTATAAATCCGAATATCTAATTAAAAAGCTTGGCGACTATTCGGCCGGCGACTATATGGCCCCGCGACTATTCGGCCGGCGACTATTCGGTCGCGACTTTTCGGCCGCGACTATTCGGCCCGCGACTATTCGGGCTGTACCCTTTTTTCCTCGTTGCGAGACGGTTAGATTTCCCGTTTAACCCGCCGAGACGTTTCAGTGTAGAATTTTCTTAAAAATTTTAGCTTTAATAAAATTCGCATTTTTAGTTATTTTTTGCTTAAATGTTATTAGAATCATTCTAATTTTACTTTCTTTTAATAGTTTAATAATTAATTTAAATTAAAATTATGTATCTCTACAATTTAACGTTACAAGGAATTACTTCAATTAATTGTGCTGTTCACGGTTCATTTACTGGAAATTCAAAACAACAGGTTTATTTTTAAAGAAAATTTTTTAAAAATATTTTAGGAAGTTTGTGTTGCAAAAGGCTCAGTGCTTCAATTATTATTTTGTGACCCAAAAACTGGAAAAATTTCAGTAATTTGTAGTTGTGATACTTTTGGAATAATTAGATCGCTTTTGACTTTTCGTCTTACTGGGAGTTCTAAAGGTTTATTAAACATTAAAGAATTTCTATTTTACCCCGATTTTCCCCGATTGGATACTTCCTAACATTTTTTTATTAAATTTTTCAGATTATATTGCTGTTGCCTCAGATTCTGGTCGAATTGTTATTCTTGAATATTCTTCACAAAAACATTCATTTGAACGTGTCCATCAAGAAACTTATGGTAAATCTGGTTGTCGACGTGTTGTCCCTGGTCAATATTTGGCCGTTGATCCAAAGGGAAGAGCTCTTTTGATTGGAGCGGTTTGTTTTTATTTTTCTGATTGAAATTTTTTTGGGGGTTTTTCTTACCTTTTTCCTTATTAGATTGAACGACAAAAATTGGTATACATTTTAAACAGAGATGCTCAAGCAAATCTAACTATCAGCTCACCACTTGAAGCACATAAAAATTACAGCATATGTTTTTCAATTGTCGGCATTGATGTTGGATTTGAAAATCCGACTTTTGCCTGCCTAGAAATTGATTATGAGGTATCTTTTTATTTTAGATTTTGTACCCTTGAATTTCTCACTTAACTCATAATAACACGGAAAACGAGCTTATTTTAAGTTGGAGTTGTTTTATTTTTCTGCTAGTTGTTTTTAGTTTTTCCTGTATAGACCAAGAAGCCAGAATTACTTATTTTTAACGCCTCATACGAAAATTTTAAGAATTTCAGAAGAGAAATATTTTGCTTAATAACAAATTTTGTTACGATGCCAAGATTATTTCTATTTTTTAAGGATTGTGATCATGATCCTACAGGTGATGCTTACAAACATATAAAACAGACACTCACGTTTTATGAATTGGATCTTGGATTAAACCATGTTGTGCGGAAATATGCCGAGCCTTTGACTGAACAGGTACATTTCCGTTTATTCCATGTATTAAATTAATCAAAATTATTTTGAAACTGTGCTCCTAGTTTAAATTTCTTTTATAAAGGGAAATTTACTCATTGGCGTTCCTGGAGGGAGTGATGGACCAAGCGGAGTAATTGTTTGCTGTGAAAACTATTTAGTCTACAAAAACTTAGGCGATCAACCTGATGTTCGATGTCCAATTCCTAGGCGAAGAGTAATTACATTTTTTAAATTTTATATCAAAAATATTACTTAATTTCTTTTAAGAATGATTTGGATGAAAGTGAGCGTCCAATAATGATTGTTTGTGCTGCTACACACAAGACAAAATCAATGTACTTTTTCCTTGTTCAATCAGAACAAGGTGATGTTTTCAAAGTAACTTTAGAAGCTGATGGCGATCTTGTGACAGAAATGCGCATTAAATATTTTGATACATTACCTGTGGCTAATGCGTTGTGTATATTAAAGACGGGATTTTTATTCACAGCTAGTGAATTTGGAAATCAGTTTGTTTTTTTTTAAATTTTACTCGTAAGGGTGTCGAAAACTCTACTTGGAAATATATTTTAATGAGATTTAATTATTTGTTTTTCAGTCAACTTTTCCAAATTGCACATTTGGGTGACAATGACGATGAGCCAGAATTTTCATCAAGAATTCCTTTAGATGAAGGGGAAACATTTTTCTATGATACTCGTGGTCTTCAAAATTTAATTCTTGTTGATCAAATTGACAGCTTGAATCCAATGATTACATCACATGTAATTTTTTATTAAATTTCTTTTCAATAAATTTTGTATTATTTTTAGATTGGAGATTTAGCTAATGAAGATGCACCTCAAATTTATGCACTTTGTGGTCGTGGTCCACGTTCAACAATGAGAGTACTCCGTAATGGATTGGAGGTTGCAGAAATGGCAGTTTCAGAATTACCAGGAAATCCAACAGCTGTTTGGACAGTTAAAAAGAATGTTGATGGTTTCTTCTTTCTTTCCTAATTAAATAAATATTTCCCTCAACAGATCCTTTTCATGCACACATTATTGTCTCATTCACAAATGCAACTCTTGTTCTCTCCATTGGCGAGACAGTTGAAGAGGTTACAGATTCTGGTTTTCTCGGTACAACACCAACACTTGGCTGTGCATTAATTGGAGATGATTCACTGCTTCAAGTTTATCCATCAGGCATTCGACATATTAGAGCTGATAGACGTATAAACGAATGGAGAGCGCCACCGAAAAGGCCCATTCAAAAATGCACGATGAATAGAAGACAGGTATAATATTTTCTGAATGATATATAATTACGTGGTGATAAATTAGGCCTTAGACATTACTAACTTTTTTATTTTTAGTTGAGTTTACTCTTTCTTTGTTGAGAACATTTTTTAAAGTCGAATAATTTTGTATTTTTTATCAAGGTTGTCATTTCTTTGACTGGTGCAGAAATTGTTTATTTTGAACTTGACATGAACAACCAACTACGTGAATATTCTGAACGACGTGAACTTACCTCGGAAGTTTTATGTATGAGTATGAGCGAAGTACCTGAAGGAGAGCTTCGTTCTCGATTTCTCACAGTTGGACTAGCTGATAAGACTGTTCGCATCATTTCTCTGGACACATCTGATTGTTTGGCGCCATTAAGGTAACGTTAATTCTTGAATATGTATATGGTTTTCTTGTTAATTATATTATTAAAGTATGCAAGCTTTACCAGCAGAACCTGAATCACTTATGGTCATGGAAACATCAAGTGAACAAACAGGCACGACTAGCATAATGCATTTAAATATTGGTCTCCAAAATGGTTGCTTGTTGCGAGCAACACTTGATCAAGGTATTTTAACCTTAAAATTGTAAAAATGGATAGAATACAATATTTAATATGTATGAAATATCTATCTTGTTCCTTTTTCAGTTACTGGTGATTTGAGTGATAATCGAACCCGCTATTTGGGGACCCGGCCTGTGAAGCTATTCCGTGTTTTGATACAAAGACGAGAGGCTGTAAGATTTCTCCATATAAAATTAATAAGGTTTTGCAATATTTAGCTTTTCGCCTGTTCCAGCAGAGCTTGGCTTTTCTACAACTATCAAGGTCGTTTTCATTTGACACCGTTGAGTTACAGTGCACTCGAGCATGCAGCTAGTTTTTCCTCTGAACAATGCTCTGAGGGTATTGTTGCAATTTCTGAGAATACACTTCGGTAATTAAAAATATTTTTCCAAAGATTTGATAAAATTCTTATTACATTAAAGGATTTTGGCACTAGAAAAGCTTGGGGTACTTTTCAATCAAGTTGTACACAAACTGAAATACACACCACGTCGATTAGTTGTACATCCAGCGTCACAAAATATGATCATCATTGAAACAGATCACGCAGCTTTTACCGAGAAAGGAAAACGTAGAAGACGTGAGGAAATGGCAAATGTATGTAAATTAACAAAATATTTACGTCTAAATTTTACTTTCTTTTTTAAAGGATTTGATTGAAATGGCAAAGGATCAAGAAGAAAAGGCTTTAGCTGAGGAAATGGCACATTCTCTAAGGAATTATGAACCAGATGAATCAGTATATGGGTCTGCTAGGGCCCAAGCAGGTTAATTATGTTTTAACTCCCATTATCTTTATGGGATTTCAGTATAGCCTTTATTTTAGGGGATTTCAGTATAGCCTACCTTTTTTTAATTCTTGATCGATTTGAATAATTTTTATATTATAGTAAGTTTGTGTGGATTATTTTTTCTAGCATGATCGATATGATTAGATCATTACATGAAAAGAGAGGTGAATAGCGCGCGCAATTTTAATAAGGAAAAATAATCCTTACTTTCAATAGATAAAATTTTTTTAAATAGGTCTTGAGAAGATAAAGACTAGAGACTGAAGTAGCTGTACGAAAGTAACTAAAAATTTTAAATTTTTTTCAGGAAAATGGGCATCAGCGGTTCGCCTTCTGGTTCCTAAAACGGGCCAAACTCTATGTCAATATGAACTGCCAGAGGGAGAAGCTGCATTTTGGTAAAACATTTATTGACCTTATATCAATTATTTATATTTAAAAAATTCTAGTGTCGAACTAGTCAATTTTCGTTCACAAAATGACTCTACATTTGTACTTGTCGGCTGTGCTATTGAATTAGAACTACGTCCAAAACGTTCAAAAGGTGGCTGTGTCTACACTTTTCTTTTGACAAACAATGGAATGCGCTTTGAATTTATTCATCGAACACCAACACCACATGAAGTTTATGCAGTACATGATTTCCGTGGAATGGCACTTATTGGAGTGGGTAATTTGCTTCGTATGTACGATTTTGGAAAGAAAAAATTGCTGGCAAAATGTGAAAATCGGGTCGGTTATATTTTTATAAATATTTTATCTTTTCTTATACAAAATTTGTTGCAAATATGTGTTAATTACATATGAGGGGGAAAAGTTTGAGTTGTAAGATTTCAATAAGGCAAAATAATATTAAAATTAATGATAAGGTTAGAAACGGTTGCGAGTATTAACTACCGTTGATATCTTTTTTATCCGTTACTTAATATTTCAAAAATATTTTCTATACGCAATCTTGATTGAGATTCATTTTCTGCTTTTACTAATTCTTTACTTTTAAAATATTATTCTCTTTTAAGTTTTACTTCAATTATCTATCAACTCTATTTAAAGATGGTTAGCTTCACTTATTTTTAAAAGCAATTTATCGACAGAAATAGGCAAAATCACATAAAATGATAAATAGGAAGAGAATTAAACAATACTCCTTTTAAACTAAATGCATCCCTGACTTTCAAGCTTTATATATAAAAATTTGACAAATTTTTATTAGGACTAGTTTAACAGCTAAATAAATGGCTATGATTTAAAGCTTTTTCACACATATTTGCGATTTAAATACATTGGGCTAAATAAATTAAGGCAAGAAAATTAAGATATTCCTATCTTACAAAGGTGTTTTTCTATAGGTGTTTTTCTATCATTAACTGTTCTTATTTTCTTAAATCTATTCACGCGTCTGATAGTTCGCCACATTTTTGATGTTGCCTTTTGATCATTGGGTCGTTGAACATACGAAGTTGGGAGTTAAATGAGTTACACTAAAAATTTAATCCTTTTAATTTTTGTTACTTTATTTATGAAAACATACCATAGGCATGTTGTTTGGATCACGATTTGATGTAAATATCATGTTGTTGCAAGTGAGCAATTGTTTGAAACATGTCCGGAACTCTCGATTGAATAGTGTGTAAATAACCTGAATTAAGAAAATTGAAAACTTTCCGGTATTTAAATTTAGTTCTACAAAAGATTTTTGTTTTTAAAACTAACCGGATTGAATGCAGAATTTAAGTATCCCAGCCAAAAGAATATTGACCATATTACTTCATTCACATGCACATCAAATGCAGTTAATCCATAATATATAGAAAATCCCAACCAACAGAAAATAAAACATCCTGTTACAATTGCAACAGTTTTTGCTGCTTTGATTTCCAAAGATAATCGCTTTTCGTATGTACCCCCTGCGCGTTTCTTCTTCATCCAGAATCCTTTTCCTAAAATGCGCATTAGCAGTGATGCAGCTAATCCACGTTTAGTTGTGCTGTTGCTACTACAATTACTGCTATTGCATGTTTTTTGTTGTGTTAATTGTTCTTGTTGTGGTGGTGACCCATTTGTAAGTGTAGTATTGTTTTGATGTAAAAGGGGCGTTGTTGTTAAGTTATTTGTTTCTGGAATATTGTTGCTGTTATTTTCATCATTTTCTTCTCCATTAGGCGTTGATAACACTGTTTGGTTTAAATTTTGAACATCTTGACAACATACTCCATTAGGTTTTGTAATTGCATTTAATTTTGTTTCGTCACCAGAAGAGGAATCATGTGATTCTGAACTTTCCTCTGTTGCTTTTGGACAAAGAGATGGTCTAAAAATTTTTATTTATACATATTTACTGATGTTTTTAAAGTTACCTTTCTTGAGTTAGTTCGTAAACAATTTCACTAGGAATGCTTAGGCGTACTGGACTCAATCTTTCTTCATTTCTACAATTTAATAATTTTTTTACAAATTGGTTTTATGATTTTTTATTTACCTTTCTTTGATCAGTAATCTTTCCTCACTTCTACGTCTATCCAATTCAGAGTTGTTTCGGTAATACTCAAGATTATTGCAACTTCCATTCATTTGAGCATAAACAGTAGGCATCGAACTACTGTTTAGCGAGATTGGTATACTTCTTAGAGGATCCATGCTTAGTCTTTGTCTTAATTATTTTGAATTTAACTTATTTGTATGGTTTTACAATTCATTTTAATATTTTATAAAATGTTACCTGTTACGAATATGCGCAGCTCTAAGTCCAAATAATTTAGGCAATTTTAGATATGAGCCTTCAATACCACCATTTGATTCATTATTCGATTTCTGATGTTTTTCTTGAGGTGGTTTTTTGTTAGCATTTTCAGCTACCTTTAAAAATTTTTTTTTGAAAAAATTCTAAACATTTAATATTTTCTAGCTTTTCTTTTCAATCTTTTTATCTTTTCATTAAAATCTTTTCTCACCTGAACCATACCAGCATATTGCGATTTTGTCGCTGCCATTGCAGCAATATAAATACGAGCATATACAAAAATAACAATTGCCATAGGGATATAAAAACTTGAAGATGCACTGAACAGAATATAATACATTCCAGAATTTGAAGGAGTGCAGCGACAAGCGTCAGGATTACGCAAAACAAATTCTTCTGCGTTTCGCACCATTTCCCCTCCAACCCCCGTTGTTGCTGCTGCCGCCATTTGCTGAGCAATATAGCGCTTTCGTTCACTAGATGCAAGTAAAAAGCTTGGTGTGCAAACAATAAATGAGCTAATCCAAACAAAGGCAACAATGCAACGGGCGCGGAATTTGGTGATTAACATGTTATAATTGAGCGGTTTGATAATGGCAATATAGCGATCTACAGAAATGGCAACGAGATTATAAACTGAGGAAGTACACATCCATATATCAATAGTAAGCCAGGCAGTACACCAAATATCTCCAAAAATCCAAAAGCCGTTTAGTACTTCATTTGCGATGCTGAAGGGAAGAACAACAAGGCCGACCTTTAAAAATTATTTTTGACAATTTAACTTGAATTTTTTGGGTTACGTGTCATTTTAACAGTCAACTTTCTCTTAAGTATATTTTTTAAAAATAATTTTACCAGCATATCTGCGACGGCTAGTGAGAGAATTAGCAGTCCAGTTGCCGTCCTCAATCTGCGACGCATTAGAACCTTTAAAAATTTATTATATTTGCTTCATATCTTTCAAAAATTTTTAAAATATTCAAATTTTTAGTATTATTTTTTTACTTATTTAATAATTTCTACAAAAATTTGTTATTATTAAAAACTCACTGCTGCTATAACAAGTGCATTTCCCCCAACTACCACAATAACCATCATTGCTAGAAGTGCAATTAATGAAAAAATGCGTAGGGCTCCAGGTTGATTAGGCAATAAAGTCCACTGTTTTAATGTACAAATAGCCTCATCATCAAATTCTGAATATAATTGTGATGAGTTTTTATTAATAATTTCTCCAAATATTGTGCTAGAGGGGGTGGATAATAATTGTTGAGGTATTCTATTTTCACTTGATGAGGGTATTCTAACGAGATTCATGTTGTTATTGATATTCATTGTGTGTAAAAATTCTTAAGTCAAGTAATTTTAATTGTTGTTTTTATTTTTCTTATTTTTTGTCAAAATATTATTTAATCTTTCTAGTCTCCATTTTAATTAAAATATTTATTGAGATCTTTAAATGCTAAATGAGAATGTTTAATATATTTAGGTATATTAAAAAAGCGTATAGAAAATAAATTCTAAAAAGGGCTTTGTAACGATTTTTGAGATTTTATGGTTTTTGAGAGTTAAAAATTATATATTTGTTTATATTAAAGTCTGTTAATATTAAAAGGGTATTAATTTAAAAAATTGAACGTGTTAAATATATAAAAGTATAGAGAAACGAGTAATTGCTATTTGTGTAGTGCCGACAATTTACATTTTTTATGGCAATATAAAATGATAAAAAAGAATGTGGACTTTAATTAAAAATAAACAAATTTTTAATTGTTTTGGTTTTTCCCAATATGGGAATTTTTTTTATTTATTTTTGTAGAAGAATATTTTTTAAAATAGGATCAGACATGTAAATATTTATTTTTTTATTATTTTTTTTTCATGAAAATTTGGCTATTGATTTTCAAACGCGTAAAACTTTTTTCTTTCTATTGAGGAAGAAACATGTTTGTTCCGCCTTTCACTTCCGCTTTTCTCTTTCAACAATTCCATGGAAAATTGTCTATTATTTTTCGGGATTTTTGCCAATTCGCGTGTTTGTTTGTGTTTTGTCTGTTTAAAAATCCTCAAAGCCGTTCTTCATATAGTTATGGGCATATATTTTTTTAATATGTTTCTGGCTGTTTTCAAGCTCCTTCCCCTTTTCTTTTTTAAAAAAATGTTGACAATCCTCATCCACTTGTTTTCTTTTCAATAGATAGACAATTTAAAAACTCACTCCCTTTTTGCTTTATTTTTCCCCTTTTATTTTCATAGCTAGTTGGCACCTCGTCAACATATTTAGAGGCAGCGGGCAAATCTAAATGTCCTTTTATTTAGTTGATAGCGTAAGGATGTCATTTCGGCCTCAGCTTTAAGGGACATGGGGGAAGGTGAGGAATCGTTAGGCGTTGCTAAATCTGTCCTCGCATTTTATATTTCTTTTTGTTCTTAATCCGTTCTCGCTGCCACACATACACGCAACCAAGCATCTGGAGCTAACTACCATTAAGAGAGTTAAAAATGTAAAAAATAGTAATATGGGGGCTGTAACAAATTGACAAGTTTTAAATCGATTTTTATTACTTTGGATAAAAAAAGACTTTAAAAAGTTTTATTATGAGTGCATGTTAATGGTGAATTAATTAAAAAAATAAATACACTAAAAATAAACTTAAAATTTGTTTTTATTTAAATTAAAGTTTAACAATAAAAATAAAAATATTTTACATAATTACAATAGTGAATTTTATCCTGAAATAATTTTTTAAAATTTTTAATACTATGGGCATGTATATTTAACGTAGATAAAGAGATATATTTTCTTTTTAAAATTTTTAAATAATTTTAGAGATTATTTTAAGGATCTTTCTAATTTAAGGATTTTGCCAGAAAAATGGCTAAGAAGGTTAGTCTAAGCAAAATCCATAGACAGGCTTCAAAATGCTCATTTGAACAGCGGCACTTGTTTCGGTACAGAAAATTTGTTGTTTAAGGAAGAGAAAAGGAAAAAAGGAAGAAGAAACGGAAGGAAGAACAGAAAGGCACAAACAAATTCTTCCCCTCTTTTTTTCATCAAAACAGCTGTCTCTTTCGGTTGTCACCAAGCTGAGAACAAGCTTTTGAGTGTTGAAAAGGGGGGGGGGATAAAGGCGAGAAAAAATGAAAAAGATGTAAAAGGACAAGTGAAATTGCTTCCAATATAGGGGTAAAGGGGCATTGAGGGATGAGCGTGGTTAAATACGTCGTCATTCATTTGTGGTGAGACTTAAATCAGCCGGGATGACAAAGGGGATGAATATATATTTATGGACAAATATATCGATATATTAAAATACAATTAAGAAAATATGTAGACAAATTTTTATAATTAGTCGGATATACAGGGATTAAAGGGAAGAAAAGCTACTAAAATAAATTTTAAAAGTTTATTGTGATAAGGTTTTAGATTTTATATATGTGTTTATTTAAGTATTAATTAGATAGGAAATTTTTTTATTTCTTATAAAGGTCATTAAAAGTTGAAGGTTGTTGATTTATTTTTATAAAAATAATGAAATTTGAGGCGTAAATATTTTTTTATTTTTAAAATTAATTTTTAGAGGCTGTTATTTTACTTCACTTTTGTTATTTATAGAGAACATTTTAAAAAAATAAAATAAAATTTAAAGTCGAAAAATATTAAAACTAATTTTTTAGAGGGACTAAACTTTAATAAGAATTATTTGACTTTAAAATAGGTTATTTTAAATTTTCTAAAAATTTTTTAGAAATTTTTTGAGGTAGATAATTCAAAATTGATAAAATAAAAGATGTCATTAGTTCACTCAAGGGAATTTTGAAAATTTAAAAGGAATAAGACAATGACTATTTTTGTTTAGAAATTGTATTTTTAAATTAAATATTTTAATTAATCTTGAGTAAAATTGAGACAAATTTGTTGTTTAAACTGGATTATTAAAAATTACAGAGGAAACTATTAATTAAAAATTTGTTTTGGCCTCCAGTATATGTTTTTAACATAAGAATGGAATAAAATGATAAGAAAGAAACCTACACTTGGTATAAAATACATGTAAAAAGGCTTTTTGTTAAATTAGGGAAGACGAAGAATTTTATTTTCTTATTGCTGCGTTTTGTGGGGGCGTCGTGGTAACTAAAAAGCATTGCCGCGACTAGTAGTATATTAAATTAGTTCGCGCTGGGATATAGGGAAGAAGAAAAGTAATGGGACAAAATGTGAAGGTGGAAATATGTAGGATGAATGTAAAAGTATATGAGGAAGAGGAATTTGTAGAGGACAATTGAGGGAGGAAATATTTGGCATTTTTACAAAAGCTTTAAGGGGGAATTTTAATTTTATTTTTTGCTTCCTCAATTTTTTTTATTTACAACAAAATTTTGTTTTTAAATTACTCCCGTTTTTTTTATTCATATAAGTATGTATAATTTGTGTGTCTTGTTTATTCTCTTTTTTTCGTGTTTTGTTATTGCTCCTGAATTTATTTATTATGAATTGTGAAAAAGAGAAGTTTCTTGTTTACATGAAAGAAAAAACAATTATGCGTAAATATATTCGAGATTATTTTTTTCTAAGAATTTCTTGGGGTTATCTAAAAAAACAAATTTAATTTCGAAGCTTCAGTTCTTTAAAAGAAAACAATATTTTCTAAAATTGTGGAAAACTTTTTTTAAGTAAAAATTGGAATTTAGAGGGGGGGGGGAGGGGAGGGAACGTTTTTGGCAACAAACAAAAATATTTTTGAATTGAAAAAATGGAACGGTTATCATTGTTTATTTACTTTTTACGTCATGTAAATGCATGCATACAATTAAGTAATCATTTATCGTCACTTTGAAACAAAAGTAAAAGAGCTATTTTAGTATAATATTTTGTTTGTTTTTGGGTATTTAAATTTTAATAATTTTAAAAAAAATATTTGATATTAAAATTTTTGATAGGTAATTAATTAATCGTGTGTTATGAATTTATTTGGAAAATATTTTTGAAAAATATTATGAAAATACCAAAAGAATAATGTGTTTATTTTTGGTGTTAAATTTTTAAAATAAAAAATTTTTGAAATGAAATTTGAGGAGAAAAATACACAAAAAATATTTTTAGAACACGAATTAAAAAAGTTAAATGAGGTATTTCAAATAAAATTCTTTAAACGATTATTTTACGCAAAACTTATTTTTTAATTTCTTAAGTTTATTTTTAGTTAAAAGAAAATGAATTTTTGAAAAAATTTAATTTTGGAGATAGACGGGGGGAATATTAGAGAATTTAAAATTTAAAAGGGAAAAAGTACTAAAGGGGGGGGGGATTATCGGATTGATTGTAGAAGGAATGTTGGAATGACTAAGTAAGAAAGAAATTTTTTAAAGTGAATTTTTTGTAAGATAATTTTAATTTTAAAATTTCACTTTATTTTATATTGATTTTAATTAAAATAATCGAAGGGGGTTTATTATAATTAGACTTAAAATTCTTTTTTCTAAAATCCATTTTTTAATAATTTAACCAAAAAATTAATCTCAATTTCACTTTCTTTTATTTGCCATTTTTATATTCTAAATTCTTAGAAAAATAATTTTAAAAGAAGAGGGAGAACTGCCATGGAAAATTAATTAAAGGAATGAAAAAAAAGATAGAAAAAAGTATATTATTTAAGTGTGAAATGAGAGGGAGGTAATGAAATGAGGAGGGAGGTTTTAAAAGGTTTTTATTTGTTTTTAATTATTTTTTAAATTATCTGGAAAATTCTTTAATTGAAAAAAAAGATTTCTATTTAAAAACATTACTATTTAATGAAAAATATATGCCTTTCATTATTTGTAAGAAATATATTGGCCATATAAATATTTTTCTTCCTCGTGTTAATTAAACGCGCGCCTCCTCCTCCTCATGCCTTTATATCCTGAAGGCTTTCATGCCTTTTATTTTAAAAGGATGAAAGGAAAAAATGAAAAGAGATGATGTTAAAGGTTTGTAATGAGCTTTAGAATTTTTAGAAAAAATATGCAAACAATATAAAAGGGCTGAGATAAATAATAAGATTTTTAGTAAAAAAATAAAAAAAACAAATTTATATTTGAGAAAAAATATTAATTTTAAAAAAAAGGTGATGTCATGAAATTAATTTTTTTAAATTAATTTTTGGTAAATTTTATGAGAAGGTTCTTTTAATTAAAAGTTTAAATTTTGTTTTAAGATTGTTTAAAAATAATTTATAATTAGAATGCTTATGTTGTCTATTTTTAGTGTCTTCTTTTGTACTAATTTTTATAGAAGAATTAATTTTAAATAAAACGTAAAATAGAATATATTTAAGTTTTTTTATAATTTATTTTTCAACTCCCGCAGGTTTTTAAAATAAGAAATAAGTTTAAGGAAGAGAAATGGCAGAAAACCCCATTAAATGCTTATTTTAGTTGTAAAAGTAAATTAGTTTTTCGGTTCTTTAGTTTTATCTTTTCCTTGTGGTAATTAACTATGGATAGGCCAAAAATAAATTTAATATTATTATATGTGAGAAAGAGTTATTTAAAGTTTCTATAAGGCTTGGAAATTTTAAAGGTGTGTGTGGTTAATAATTTTAATGTCAAAAATAGGATTTTTCTATAAAATTTTTTAGAATTTTTTTTATTTTTCTTTTGCGAGAGCAAATTTTAAAGTTGTGGAGTGAAAGGAATTTGTAAAATATATTTTTTAAAATTTTGTATATTTAAAAGCCTTTTTTAAATTAATTCTTCAAGAAAAACTTTTTCTAGAATTTCCATTTTTGAGAAATTCTATTTTTAAATAATTTGTAATTGTCAATATGAATTTTGTGCTTTGTTTTTTGTTCACCTTCAAACCTTTTTATTATCAACTTTTTTTAGTTTACAGATTCGCTATTTTTTCACTTTTTTCCACGCCCATATCTTACATTATAATCTAAAAATATTTTTTTTTGCCGAGATTGTTTATATGTTTTGTTTGGTTAATAAATGAAAACATCCCAAATATAGATGTTTCTAAATTTGGATTGTAACCAAAAATGGCATTTTTTAATATTGTTGGTTTGACTAAAATACGATAGAGAATGATTTTAAAAATAGGTAAAGGGGGGGGGGGAGTGTGATTATTTAGATAATAATTGGGGGAGTTTAAAAGCAAATATTGAAGTTTAAAAATTACCCTTAAAACAGTGAATTGTTTTTTTTTGTTTTGATCTAGATAAATTAGAAAATGGGGAGTTATGTAAAATACAACAATTTGAATTAGATTTACTTACTATTTAGTTAACACTAAGTATAGAAATTAATAAATTTTATTTTTTTCCTTTATTTATTTTGTAATTAAAAATTATTATTGTTTTCTGGGTTTATAAATTACTTAATGGCTTAAACTGAGTTTAATTAAATGGAAATTACTTAAGTATACATAATTTTTACTTAATTCTAAGTATGTACTTATTATGTTTAGTTTTTAGGGAAATTATGTAATTAACACAGATTTGCTTATTGAAAATATTCTCAAAAAAATTTTTTTTCAAAATTAATAAATAATTTCTTTATATTTTTAAGCAAATCCAAGTTCAAATTGTCGACATAAAATCAATGGGTCCGAGAATTATTGTATCAGATAGTCAGGAATCTGTTCATTTCTTACGTTACAAATCAAATGTAAGTTTACTTTTTTTAATTATTGTTAGAAATTGGGAGGTTTTTTGGTCTGAATAATTCTTAAAAAATTATTCCCTAATTGGTTATTTCACCAAAAGCTCAGGATAAATTGCGGATTAAAGCGTTTCCCCATACACGAACTTTTCTTTAAAAAACTTGGCAAAAAATTTCTTTTAAAAACTTTTAACAAGCAAAACAAAACACCTAAAAGTTTAACAAAAAATGTAATTTTCTGAGAATTTCACTAGCGACCAGTTTTTTTAAATATTATTATTGGGAAAAAGAACACATAACAACCACGCGGTTCTTGCCAGTCAATTTATTCCGCCCCCTCTACTTTTAATATAAAATAACAAAACAGAACAACAACACAACATTTAAAAGAAATTTTTATTTGCCAATATATTTTTATTTAAAAAATGCTGGTAAAATAAAAAAGAAAAAGCAATATTCGATTCAATAAAAGTACATAACAGGAACCTGTGCCAATTTTAAAGGTTTCCGGTCTATAACAAAAGTTTTGGTCGTCTGGCCGACGGCGGATGTTAAAACAGAAAAGAAAAAATTCATTTTCCCTGTCCTTTTAAATTATACCGAATAGACTTTAGAGTAAAAAAAGAAATTGAATTGGAATAGCTACTGTGTGTTTGTTTGTTGTTGTGAGGTGTTTTTAAAAAAGTTTATTTAAAAGAGATATGGTTAATAAAAAAATTATTTTGAAATTTATTGTCCCAGAAATTGGTTAAGAATTATTTATTTTTTAGGAATTGTTTTGAAAATTAAAAATATATTTGGGGGAAAATTAGATAATTTAAAATACTGAAACTATATTTCTAATTAAATGTTAAAATTTTATTTTTATTAATATATTTTGAAGGAGGGGGTTTTTAAATGAAATGAATTGTAAAAGAAAAAGATTTTCTGGAAACCCATAATTTAGAAATAGCTAAAAATATTAAGGTATTTAAGTGAGAATCAAAATAATTATTTACTTTAGTTTGAATATAAGTTGAATTGTTATAAATTAAAGTAATACTTCAAAGGGTATGATTTCTGAATTTTAAAAATAAGAGATTTCTTTTTCATATTTTAATAACTTTATGTTTCCTTTTTACTAAATAAATGAAAAAGATTTTGGTAACCAAAAAAACTTTTTACGAACATAAATAATTACTGGAATTACAAAGAAAGTCATTTAAAGGAATTAGACTGAGCCAACAAATAATCCATTCATAACTATTTTTTAGCTTTTTTACTTCAAATCTCTTAAAATATTTTTTTCTAGAAATGAGTTTTTCTTTCATTTTCTTTTTTTGGTTTATGCCCTCCCTCCCCTCCTTCAATACTTTTTAATGGCGTGACTAAAAAATGACGCCTTTGGGGACAAAGAACATTTCCATTTTTAAATAATGCTTAAAAAATCTTTTGGTTTGTTTATGCATTTTTAAGTATCATTGGCAAAAAGGAAGTGAATTTTGTAGCATTTTTAAAAATTAAATATATACATAAAGGTTGTTATTGGGGGATGATTTTAATTGGATAAAATTTCAATAAAAATCCATTGGAGTTTAAATAAAAATTATGCCGGGACTTTTATAAAAAAACGTTTAAGTAATTTACCTTAAATAGAAAATAAGGATATTCTTTCTTTAAATGAACCTACAAATTTAGTAATTTAAAACAAATTTAAAACAAAAATGGCTTTTCTCTAAATTATAAAAACAAAAATTTTCCCAAATTTAGAACATTTCTAAATTAGGCAGCTGTCACTCCCCCCATTTAACCACACCTCTCACGCACACAATTTTCTCTTGAAATTTATATTTTGAGAAAAATTTTGATATTGAAATAAAAGTGATTGAATTTTTGTTAGAAATTTTTAAGAATTTATATAAGATTTTTTGGAAGTAGGAAAGAGGGAAGGGAGTGTGAGGTATTGGGGAGGGTGTAAACTTTTAGTTGTAATTTAATTTTTTGCTGCAATTAAGGTTTTTAAACTTTATTTTTTAAGTTCGGATTTTTTGCCATTTTCTTATTGTTTTTAAAATTTTTCTCTTAAATTGAATTCTAGTATCGCCAAATTTTTATGCAAATATAGTTTGAGGAACAATATTTTTTAGTACTAAAATTAAAGTTTTTTTGGAAATTGTGAATTGGACTGAAAAGTAAATAGAAGTGAAAATGAACTTTTTTGGTTATTTTTCCCGGAAATTTGATTTGTGTGCGTTCTGCTTGGATAAACTATTTTGAAGGGAGGGTTGGGGGGGGGGGGGACTTGTTAAATAACGGAAATGAATAAAAGGACTTAATGAATAAAATTGAAAAAATACTAATAAAAATAAAAAAATAAATTTCTTTGTTTAGGCATATAAGTAAATTTTGGGATATGTATAATTTTGGAAAATAATAGTAGATTTATTATTAATAGATATGTATAAGTTTTATACTTATCTATATTTAAAATATAAATTTGGTAAATAAATTAGTTTTTCCTTTAAGTCGTTTAACTTAAATAGAATTTAAAAAATTTAAATTAGTAAGAATTTGTTTTTAATGAGTATTCAATTTCAAGAAAAACTTCTAAAAATATTACAAAAATGAAATTTTCTTAAAATTTTGTTGTCTGTCCCTTGCTTCGGTTGACTGAAAATTTATGTTTCTAAATTTGGAAAAAATCGGTAAATTCTTAACACATTTACTTTTCTCTCTTCTTTCCTTATTTTATTGGGGATAATTAGAATAATTTGTGTGTGTGTTTGGAATGAAAAAATAATAAAAGGTTGCCAATATACTACATACAAAAATAAAATAGAAAAAGTTAGTTAAAAATAGCAAATTGTGTAAAACATCATTTTACTTTTTGATTTTTAAAAAAGAAGGCAGTGGGGCCTAACTTTTTGGTAATATACCCAAAGCTAAAATGTTAAAAAAAGCTAAAAAAGTTATTATTTGTAATTTTGTTTAAGCAACACCCAAACAAATGAGGTATATCTAATATATGTATTGTATAAGTAAAGTGGTGCTTGAAATCTGCTTGATTAATTTTTTTGGGTTAAAACCTTTTAGATAAATATTTAGCTTTAGTATTTAGTAGCTAAGTGTAGTTGGATAATTATTTTTTGAATTTTCTTAATTAAATGTTGAGTAATCTAAAAATTTTTGTTTTAGATAATTTTTGCTATTTTTGCCTTTCTTTATTTATACACTAATTTCTATATTTGGAGATTTCTATTTTTTCTATTAAAAAAATTAAATTTAAATTAAATAAAGCAAAAATATCTAATTTCTAAAGAAAATGTAGCGGAAAAAGAAATTTAATAAAATCTTAAAATAAATGCGCGGAAATTAAAAAAATTAGGTAACTAAAAATAAACGAGATTTTTAATTGTATTTTGCAACTTAAAATAATTAATTTTAAATAAAATTTTAATTTAATTGTGTTCTTTTTTGGAAATTTGATTAAATAATGGAATTAATAAAAAATATTTTTGGGGAATTTTTTTAGAAAATAAATTTATTTTTAAATTTAATGTTTGACGTTTTAATTTATTTTTGTTTTTGAAGGTTTTATTTTAAATTTTCTATTTTAAGAAAATTTTGAGAACTTATTTTTTATAAAAATATTTTAGGGATTATTGAAGTAATGTTTTTGGGGCTATGGAAAAAATTATTGCAGAAAAATATTAGATAATTCCGAATTTAAAAATTTATTTTGATAAAATAAATTTTTTAACCAATAAAAAAAGTTTAAGAATATTTTTAACTATGTATATAATTGCCTTGTTTACAAAGTTTTTTAAGTGAGGTCGACCTTGCGGCTTTTATCGACAATTGTTCGTTTAAGCGTGTTTTTATAGGCTTTTTGCTATTTTTTAGAGGGATCCATCAAATAAATAAATATCCATCATTCATCCATAAATATTTTCGTTTCTAGAGGGCAATTTAAAGAAAGAAAAGTTTGAAGTAAATGTGTGTTTGTTTACTGTTTTTCTGGCCTGAAATTTTATAATGCCTTAAAGTGTTTGATATATGTATAGCTATTTTTGGATTGAGTTTTTTCTACATTTTTTTTATTTTGGAAAAGGGAATTAGGAAAATAATCTTAATGATTTATAGAGGTTTTACAAAAAATTATTTTTATTTGTTTGGAATGGAGATATTATGTTTGATAAAAAAATAAATATACTAAATTTAAATTTTAGAAGAGTATAGGTATATAATGATAATTGATATAATATTTACTAGGAATTAAACAACATGCCTAGGAGTGAATTGGGTTTGATAGGATTCCGTGATAAAAAGCCTGGCTTCAGGACAGATCGGGTTTCTGGTAACTCGACCCATAGTAATAGTAGAATAGTATGTAAATGTTACTATATTTTTTGTATTCATTTTCTGATATTAAAATATTTAAAAATTTTCACATTAATATAATACATTTAATGTTTATGATGATTTAATATTAAAGTCACGGAAAATTATTAATTGTAGTTCTTGGTTTCTTCTAGAAATTCTTTGGAAATCTTTTTTTTTGTTATGAATATTTAATGATTAATCTATGTATTTTTAAGGGATATTTTTTGAATTTACTTAGAATTTCCTGACCTTTCACGGCTTGAAATGGGGAGGATATAAATTGTTTGAATTTTTTCTATTAATCCCTTTGTATTTTCTTTATTTAAAAAATATTTTTATTTTTTAAATATTTAATTATATTTTTAATAAAACATTTAAAGAAACTGGTCATTAAGTTAAATATTTATTTATACATTAATTGCAGAAAAAGCCAAATTTATTTAAAATTAATTATTATTTGCATGCGCCTACTCTATTTAAAAAACTAAAAAACTTTTTTCTGAAACATTTTCTTTTTCTTTATTCTATTTATAGACATTCCCAAGAATAAATTATTTTTTGAGCTTTAATAAAACACAAAGAAAAAGTTTGGAAATAAAAAAAGAAGAAAATAAATAAGGAATAAAAAAAGGTTTTTGTTGTGCAAATAAAAATTGAATTTGATTTTTGGAAAATATATATTTAAATAATTGAATGATTAAAGATTGGAAAAATATATTTAAAATTTATTTTGGGTATTAAATTAGTTAATTTAAGAGAAGTTCCCGACTCCCCTTTAAATTAAGAATTAATTAAAAATAATTTTTTTAAATTTATTCTAGGAAAATCAACTAATTATCTTTAGTGATGAAACAACCCCTCGTTATATAACATCAATATGTTTATTAGATTATGATACAGTTGCTTGTGCTGATCGCTTTGGGAGTATAGCTATTGTAATTACTAAATAAATTTAATAAAATTTAATTTTTTTTAAAAGCTTCGATTACCAAAAAATTTGGTTGAGGAAGTTCAGGAAGACCCTACAGGTGTTCGGGCACTTTGGGATAGAGGAAATATGAATGGAGCTTCTCAAAAAGTTTTTTTCCAGAGTTCTTTCAAAATAAATTTAATTTTTAAAGTTGGAATTAATTGCACATTTTTATATTGGAGATTTAGTAACTAAATTACAAAAACAAGTATTGTCCCTGGTTCTGATGATTCTTTAATTTATACAACAATTTCTGGTTCAATTGGAATGCTTGTTCCTTTTATTTCGAGAGATGTAAGGGGAGGGGGGATTTTGGAATTTAAATTTAATTTTTTTTAAAAGGAATTTGAATTCTTTCAAACACTCGAAATGCATTTACGAGTTGAGAATCCGCCTCTTTCTGGTCGGGATCATTTGGCTTATCGATCTTTTTATGCTCCGTGTAAGGTAAAAAATAAAATAATTTTTTTAGTCAATATAGGTCCCTTAAATTTTTAAAAAGATACAAACTAAGAATACAAAAAATGATTATTAAATTTGTGTTAAATACACACAAAATCCTAAAAAGAGTTTGTAGACTTTGAATTTATTTTTAAGTTTTGTTTTTTTGTAGTATTTCACTAAAAGACTTTTCTCTTTTTTTGATTTATTATTTTTCGATTGATAAGAAAATCATGCGATTATAGACACACGTTTTTAAAATTAATTTTTTTTATATTCTAATTACAAAATAGAGAGAGAGAGAGAGAGAGTAGGGAGAGGAATGGGGAATTTCCCTTTATTTTTTATTTATTATTTAATTATTCCCCCAAATTTCATCATTCTTCTCATTTTTTTCTCTTTAAAAAATTATTTTTTAAATATTAGTTTGTTGTTGATGGCGATTTATGTGAGCAATATTCTACATTAGATACAGGAAAGCAGAGAGAAATAGCTTCTGCTCTAGGTTTACAGCCTGGGGTTGTTGTAAAGAAATTAGAAGATTTGAGAACACGTTATGCTTTTTAAAAGGAATTTTTTGGGAAAAATTGTTATTTTATTTTTTGCAATTTTAAATTGGCCCTCATATCCATTTATTTTTTTATTAATGATCTGAAAATTAAATTTTGAAATTTTTTCTTTTTTTCTGTTATTAATTTGTTATTTAACATTTATTTTTTTACACATTTTATTCTCTTTTATTTTAAATTCAAGTTTTTTAACGGAATTTAAAGATTAAATCTAAAAATTAAAATCTCGTTAATAAATATCCTTCTGGTTTACTAAAATATTTTTTTAGAAATTTTTTGGAAGAGGAAATTATTTGGGGGACTTCTAAAATATATTCAGTTCGGTTTATTTTTTTAATTCTGAAAATCCTTGCATTATTTTCTTTAAATTTTGTTCTCAATTCATTAATATTTTAAAAAAATTTTTTCAGAAAAAAAAGCTCAAAACTATTTTCTTTTTTATTAATTAAAAAATGTCTGTTACAACAGTTACAAAAACACAATCTTCCAAAAAATTGCCTTATAAAGTTGGTAGGTTTTTCTCAAAATTTGTTATTTTAAATAAACATTTTTTCATTTAGCGGATATTTCACTTGCCGATTTTGGACGTAGAGAAATAATTATTGCTGAAAATGAAATGCCTGGACTTATGGCTATGAGAGTAATTTTGATTTTTAGAAAAAGTAGAAGTAAAATTAATTTTTAAAGGAAAAATATGGAACTCAAAAGCCGTTGAAAGGTGCCCGTATTGCTGGGTGTTTACATATGGTGATTAAATAAAATTATTTTTTTATTTAAATTTAATTTTAGACTGTCCAAACTGCTGTTTTAATTGAAACTTTGTTGGAACTTGGGGCGGAGGTTAAGAGAAAATATTTTTTTTATTTAAAAATAAAATAGGTTCAATGGTCTTCTTGCAATATTTTCTCTACTCAAGACCATGCTGCGGCAGCAATTGCTGCTAAAGGTATCCCCGTTTATGCTTGGAAAGGTGAAACTGAGGAAGAATATGAATGGTGTATTGAACAGGTAGAGAATAAATAAATTGAATTAAAATTTAATTTTTAGACAATAATCTTTCCAAATGGCCAACCATTAAATATGATTTTGGATGATGATGGAGATTTAACAAATTTAGTTCATAACAAATACCCAGAATTATTAAATAAAATAATTGGAATAAGCGAGGAAACGACAACTGGAGTACATAATTTAGCTAAAATGTTGGAAAGCGGGGAATTAAAAGTAGCTGCAATAAATGTTAATGATTCTGTTACAAAATCTAAATTTGATAATTTATATGGAATACGGGAATCTTTGCCCGATGGAATTAAACGGGCAACTGATGTTTGTAGAAAGAGAAATTGTTTTTTTGGAAAAATAATTATTTCTTTTAGGTAATGCTTGCTGGAAAAGTAGCTGTTGTTTGTGGTTATGGAGATGTTGGGAAGGGTTCAGCTGCTGGTTTACGTAATTTTGGTGCTAGAGTAATTATTACTGGTAAAATTTAGTTTCCGATTAAATTTCAAAATAAAATTTAAAAGAAATTGACCCAATAAATGCTTTACAAGCAGCAATGGAAGGTTATCAAGTAACAACATTAGAAGATGTTATTGAACAAGCACAAATTATAGTAACAACAACTGGCTGTAAAGATATTGTACGTGGAGAACATATTGAAAAATTACCTGAAGATGCTATTATTTGTAATGTAAGTAAAGGGAGAGAGAGAAAGTTATTTTATAAAAAATTAACACAAGCAAAAGTACCCTTTTTTCTAATATAAGCAGACACCTTGTATACAGACTAAAAAGCATGTCCAACTTTTGTTTAAAGTTGGTCCTTACTCAGGCTTGAACTTGAGATCCTAATACTTACGAGTAAATCTATCTAGCAAACAAGACAATATTTTTATTTATTACATACAAATAAAGACAATTATCACGATTATTGAGAACAATACAAAGGCGAACAAATATCACTATACAATATAATCAACAACAAAATAAAAGTGGCATTTATCATCTTTTCTTTTATTCAGCTGGACCAGTCAAACGCCGGGTGAAGGCTGCAGCGTCTCCTCTTTGCCACTCGCCGGACCATCTCTCGCAGCCAATCGTAGTCGAGTTTGTCGACGTAATGCCGTTTTGTTAAGTACGACATGATGTGTCGAAATTCGCTGAACTTGAAAAAGGGAAAAAGAAAATTAGTATTAAGCATGTCTTATAGCACCTCCTGCCCTGGGAAGAGTGTTGACGGATTTGCGAAAACACCTTCTTTCATTTCCCGCACGTTGTTTAGGTTCTCCTCCTCGTACCATGGCAGCTTTTTCTTATTGATCATGTCGGCGAGCATGTAAAGCCAACTCTCACAGTCATCCTTGCGGCCAGACTCCTCGCTTCTATGCATGGCCAGTGGAGCGAACCGAATTGTTCCTTTGAATCTGACCTGGAAAATCATAAAAAGATTATTCAAAAAAGGATTTAACAATCAAAGAATATTGCAAACTAGCCTTGGATCGGGGGATGGCAACCGTCCCATCAGCGCCCACTATCTTCCTGGCGATTCCAAAATCCACCACGTATACCACATTCTGAGAACCAGTTTTGGCCAGCCCCAAAACAAAGTTGGCAGGTTTGATGTCTCGATGAACAAATCCGAGCGCGTGCATGTCCTTGATTGCTTCCAGAGTTTCGAGGGCGCAGTACAGTCCTGTGTTCATACTAAACAGGGAAAGTTTATTAATGACAAACTCACCTATTCTACCTGAAGATTTTGTTTGACTGACGATACTTGATGTCGGCAAGTGATTCGCCCAGAAGCGACATCACTATGAACATGAACGACCGCACCTCAACGCTCCTGTCGTACAAAATTGGGAAGTGCTTCTGCTGCTCCTTTGACACTCCTTTGGCTGCTTCCAGTACTCGGATCTCCATGACAAGCTTAAAATGGTTGCGTCTCGGATTTCGTCGCTCCTCCTTCATTGCGAACAGGCCCCCTTTCCTCCAGTCCGCCTTGACCTTATACACAGCTCCATATCCGCCGTACGAAATGCTCTCCACGACCGTGTACGAACGTCCACTTTGACTGGAATTAAAAAAATAGTAGGACAAATACTATATTAAGCTTATAAAGAAAAATTTACCAGTTAATCTGCTCGCCTGGATCTCTGCCCGCGAAGGAGTACTGCGACACAAGAGACGAGGCCATGTCGAGTTGAACGGTGGTGCAAAAGCGGCGTTGATGTAGTGAGTTGTCGGCGAACGGTGGTGCAAAAGCGTCGTTGTTGCAGTGAGTTGTCGATGAACGGTGGTGCAAAAATGGCGTTGATTTGAAGTTAAGTTCATTTTGCTTGGCTTTTTTATACCTAGATGGTATGACTGTTGATACGGGAACTATTTTATTATAAAAGCCAAGCAAAATGAATTTAACTTCAAATCAACGCCATTTTTGCACCACCGTTCATCGACAACTCACTGCAACAACGCCGCTTTTGCACCACCGTTCGCCGACAACTCACTACATCAACGCCGCTTTTGCACCACCGTTCAACTCGACATGGCCTCGTCTCTTGTGTCGCAGTACTCCTTCGCGGGCAGAGATCCAGGCGAGCAGATTAACTGGTAAATTTTTCTTTATAAGCTTAATATAGTATTTGTCCTACTATTTTTTTAATTCCAGTCAAAGTGGACGTTCGTACACGGTCGTGGAGAGCATTTCGTACGGCGGATATGGAGCTGTGTATAAGGTCAAGGCGGACTGGAGGAAAGGGGGCCTGTTCGCAATGAAGGAGGAGCGACGAAATCCGAGACGCAACCATTTTAAGCTTGTCATGGAGATCCGAGTACTGGAAGCAGCCAAAGGAGTGTCAAAGGAGCAGCAGAAGCACTTCCCAATTTTGTACGACAGGAGCGTTGAGGTGCGGTCGTTCATGTTCATAGTGATGTCGCTTCTGGGCGAATCACTTGCCGACATCAAGTATCGTCAGTCAAACAAAATCTTCAGGTAGAATAGGTGAGTTTGTCATTAATAAACTTTCCCTGTTTAGTATGAACACAGGACTGTACTGCGCCCTCGAAACTCTGGAAGCAATCAAGGACATGCACGCGCTCGGATTTGTTCATCGAGACATCAAACCTGCCAACTTTGTTTTGGGGCTGGCCAAAACTGGTTCTCAGAATGTGGTATACGTGGTGGATTTTGGAATCGCCAGGAAGATAGTGGGCGCTGATGGGACGGTTGCCATCCCCCGATCCAAGGCTAGTTTGCAATATTCTTTGATTGTTAAATCCTTTTTTGAATAATCTTTTTATGATTTTCCAGGTCAGATTCAAAGGAACAATTCGGTTCGCTCCACTGGCCATGCATAGAAGCGAGGAGTCTGGCCGCAAGGATGACTGTGAGAGTTGGCTTTACATGCTCGCCGACATGATCAATAAGAAAAAGCTGCCATGGTACGAGGAGGAGAACCTAAACAACGTGCGGGAAATGAAAGAAGGTGTTTTCGCAAATCCGTCAACACTCTTCCCAGGGCAGGAGGTGCTATAAGACATGCTTAATACTAATTTTCTTTTTCCCTTTTTCAAGTTCAGCGAATTTCGACACATCATGTCGTACTTAACAAAACGGCATTACGTCGACAAACTCGACTACGATTGGCTGCGAGAGATGGTCCGGCGAGTGGCAAAGAGGAGACGCTGCAGCCTTCACCCGGCGTTTGACTGGTCCAGCTGAATAAAAGAAAAGATGATAAATGCCACTTTTATTTTGTTGTTGATTATATTGTATAGTGATATTTGTTCGCCTTTGTATTGTTCTCAATAATCGTGATAATTGTCTTTATTTGTATGTAATAAATAAAAATATTATCTTGTTTGCTAGATAGATTTCCTCGTATTGGATTTGTAGTTTCAAATTTAATTTCTTTGAATGCCTTTTTTTAACCTTAGCCGGTTTAAATGTTGAAGCGTACCCGTGTTTTGGTCCAAGAGTCGTTGATTATGTTTTAGTTGCACTAATAGAATCAAAAATTTTTGGTAGGGACAACAGAAATTGCCTTCGTTGTTTTCGAGTCTTATTAGGACCAGCTCCAAAATTTACTAATTAATGTCCACAACTTTTTACCATACATTCAAATATACTTAATCTTTAATTTAAAAAAAGGTTGGGCATTTTGATTGTGAAATAAATGTTCAATGGTTAGAAAAAAATGCAGCAAGTAAAGAACAAGTTAAACCACAAGTTGATCGTTATACTTTAAAAAATGGAAAACATATAATTTTGTTGGCAGAAGGTCGATTAGTTAATTTAGGATGTGCTACTGGACATGCTTCTTTTGTTATGTCTACTAGCTTTACTAATCAAGTTATTGCACAAATTGGTTAATTTTTTAATAATTAATTAATTTAAAATATTCACAAAGTTCATTAATATAAATTTAATTTAAAAATTTATTTCCCTTTCCATAATTTTGAATTAGCTTGAATTATTTCGAAAATTAAATGATTTATTAAATTTTTTAAAAATTAGAATTATATACAAAAGCAAATACTCCAAATGCTTACAAAACTGGTTTATATGTTTTACCAAAATTACTTGATGAGGAAGTAGCTAGACTTCATTTAGCTAAACTTGGTGTTAAATTAACTAAATTGACTGATGAACAAGCAAAGTAAAATTAATTTAAATTTAAATTAAAAAGTTAATTTTATTTTTCTCAGATATTTGGGTATTCCAAAAGGTGGACCTTTCAAGGCTGATCATTATCGTTATTGAATTTGTGGGGAAAGTGGGAATGAATATAAATAAATTGTTTTGATATAAATTTTGGATTTTAAAATTTTTTGCGGGATTTAATTATTTAATTTGTTGAAGAATATTTAAAATTTTGAATAAATTTTGGACTGGTTTTTAATAAAATTTGTTTTAAATAAGTATATTATTTTTATATCAACCTTTTAACGGATTTTGTTAAGTTTATACCGTATTTCCTATATTAGAGCCCCATGGGGCTCTATTTTTCAACTATCCTCCAAGGTGGGGCTGTATTAAAGGGTGGGGCTCTAATTGAGGGTGGGGCTCTATTTTTCAACACTCTTTCGTGATAAAATCCCATTTATTAAATATCCATTGCAACTAGAGATAGGCTGGAGAGGTGGTCGTTAAAACCGAAAAATATCGAAAGAGAATCGAAATTTTCGATTTTCCACAAAAATTAAAACTTTATAAGCAATGAATAACAAAATAGTCGCAATAGTTCGAGAGTAAGATTACTAAGTATGAAATTCTGGTAGATTTTGACGGATTAAAGGAAATATTAGGGGACTAGTATTTGACATCGATGGATCAGAGGTATAAAAGTTGATTTTAAGGGATTATGGGGAACATATTAGGATTAAATTTATTAATTTAGGATTAAATTTTATTAATTTGTAAAAGGGATATTCTGGATTAGGAGGCATATGAAGCGATTTTGTTTGATGAGGCCTTGGAACAGGTTCCAGAACTGGAACTGAAGTAATTCAAAAGCATTTCCAGAACTGGAACCGGTTCCAGAGAAATTGTGGAACTTCTCCTTCACTAATTATAAGCGAGATCCCTAATAGATCTCTAATAATCTCGCGAATTATCGTCAATTTTCTGGAGTGATTTGGAGAAATATAGGTGATATAAGAGTATTTGGACGGATATCGGGGTTATTTCCTCCTTTTCATCCCTATATCCCCATGATCCCTCCTCCTCCATGATCACAATATCACCAATATCCCCCTTTACTTCCTTAACTCTCGAAATACAGCTAAAAAGTTATTGGGGATATTTTTTCCTCCACTATTTTTAGTGGGGCTATATTTGGGGTGGGGCTCTAATTGAGGGTGGGGCTCTATTTTTCAACTATCCTCCAAAGTGGGGCTGTATTAGAGGGTGGGGCTCTAACAGAGGGTGGGGCTCTAATATAGGAAATACGGTATATCTATAATTCTCCTCAGTTTCTCGATCATTAGAAATTTTAATGAAAATTATTATATTGTCTCCAATTTTTAATATGTAGCCTTTACTACGTGTATTATAGTCGTTTCTATGGTTGTTCGTTTCTTTAGCAAAGAAAAGAAAACAATAAACATATTTTTTACTTTTCTAGTGTGTGCAGGGATGGCCGAGTGGTCTAAGGCGCCAGACTCAAGCAAAGCTTGCCCAGGTTCGGGTATTCTGGTGGGCGTATGCCCGCGTGGGTTCGAATCCCACTTCCTGCAAATATTTTTTGCTTTGCTTATAAAGCAAATGGTATAATTATTTTTATATTTCTGAATATTTAATTTAATACAAGCTCAATTGAATAATTCAAATTCATTGTAATAGTTTAAATTTTAATTTTGGAGATAATTTTCTAAAAGAATATAAAAGCCAACAAAATTTAGCAAAAAAAAATTTACCTTCATTCTAGATAGGATTATCGTCAGCGTAAGTTACTTTATCGTTTTTATTTGACAAAAATAAATTTTTTAGTCTAAACAACGGCAAAATCTTCACTTCAAAAATGACTACCGCCATAGTCGTTGCTGAAGCACAGCCAATAGTCTTGAAGGAGCTTTCTGCTGATTACACAGAACAGTTGGGCACAACTATGTTGGCAATCTTGGACACGATCGAACAGACACGACGGAAGGCTCGGCAAACCTATTTGGACATCAAGGAGTTCTATGAGGGTAGTGAGAAGATACAGAAAATGGTAAGAAGTATTGAGGAGGTCTTTGAATATAACTGTTTTTTTAGTTGACTGAGGCATTATGGGACAAGTCTGAAATGAAGGAAGGCCATGCAATTGATCGAGTTGAGTTGCAGGAGCTCTATTTCAGTAAGTTGAGAGAATAACAGTAACCAAACAAATTCCTTTTCTCTTTAGGTATGACAGTAATGATCTTCTCTCTAACTCTCGGAACTCTTGTTGGCAATCTTTGGACAGAGCTTGATTGGCTTCCACAGCTTGGTATCTTCCATGCGCTTGTAGGGATTGGGGCGCTTCTTTCCCGAATTTGGCATAAACTCAATCAATGCCCTTCTGATCCAAAGGAGCGTGTACATCGTTCGCGTCTCTACATTGCTTTGCTGGCTTTGGGTTTTTGCCTTGGACGTTTGTGTAGTTATTTGTTGCCAGTGATAGCGCCGAGATTGCTTGCTCCGTTCGTGATTGCCTTTTTGGTGAATTTAAAGAATATAGTTTTAAAAATTCTCTCTAACTCTAATTTTAGATTGACAACAAGCTGAAGTTGACTCGTGGTGGTCGTGTTGAATTCTTCATTGCCTTTTCTGTGCTGATGATTGTGGGGAGTTGGCTTCTTCTGTTTGTGTGTAGACAGACTAGCTATTTCAATATCCTTCTACTGTTCATTGTAATTGCTGTCAAGATTGGCTTCTTCTATGGACACTTCCAAGTAACAACTCTTCCCAAATTCTTTTCAAAACCTCCCTCCTCTCTCTTTTAGATTATCTACTATATCCACTGTGCCCACACGGACGAACTTCGCAAACAAAAGGAAGCATCAACAAAAGAAGATAAGGCCAAAACCCCTCCAGACCAACCGCCAAAGGGTGGATGTTGCAGTGGGGATGGAAGCGCCGCTCCTGAAGAGGAAAAGAATATTGGCTTTGATCAATGGAAATGTATTAGCCACTTCTCGTATATTCTGGCTTCTGTTGTTGGCGATACGTTGATGGCCTTTTTTCTTGGATAAGTAGAAAACGGAAAGAAGTGAAGGAGAATATTTGTGTGAAGAATAGGAAAGGATTGATAAAAGTATATAAAAATAAAGATAAATAAATGTGTAGTAAATAATTAAATATATTTCCCCAATCATATCTCTAAATATAAACAATTGTTATGTAATTATTACTATAAAATATATTAGGTATTCCCTTCTCTTATCAATGTGATATTATGTTTTCTATTGTTGTTTTGCTGTATTGTTAATAAATGTGAGTAAATCTTTTTTTAAAATTTTAAACTTGGAATACGATTGCGAGTTTACTTTTTCGGACTGGACTTTTTCGAACTCTACTTGCAAAACAGTAGGTTCCTCCATCCTTTCCTGATCCCGAACTTCTTAAATTGTCTTTACATTTTAATTAAAATCAATCAAAGAACTATATTATGTGGAGATTTTAACATTAGACACATAAACTGGTATTCTAACGAAATAACTGACAATTATGACAAGATCGCGAATATTTTTATAGAGTTGGTTTAATTGGTCAGAACCAATTAAACCAACTTGTTACTGAACCGACTAGGGAAAATTCAATCTTGGACCTAGTACTTACATCTGATCCCGGTATTGTTAAAACTATTAAAGTTAGGGAGAATTTTTCAACTTCCGATCACAAAATGATAGATTTTGAGCTTAATTATCATGTTAAAGCAATTAGGAAGCCAAAAATTTACGTAAGAGATTTTAGTAAATCCAATTTTAATAATTTAAATCAAATTATATTCCGAAATAATTTAGACCTAAGTATATTAACGAAATTCACAGTTGAAGATAAATACAATTATCTAACAAAAGAACTTCTATGTCTTTATGACAAATATATACCGATAAGAGCACTAAATAAGATAATAAGAAAAGCATACCCTCAAAGAATTAAGGAATTACACAAAGAAAAACTTAGATTATTTAGGTCACTTAAAGAAAGAATATATGATAACAATCTAAGACTTAAGTATAAAATCGTCTCAAGAAACCTGAAAAAACAATTAAAAATTCATCATAACACAAATGAAGAAAAAATAATTAATAAAGGTGGAAATTCGATACATAAGTATATTAGAAGCAGACTTACGCAAGATAATAACATTCCCTGTCTAATTGATAAAGAAAATAAATTCTACTTCAGCGATAAAGAAAAATGTGATATTTTGGGAAAAGAGTTTCAAAAGAATTTTCAAAAAAGAAACATTAATCTCCCAGTTAGCGATAGAAATATAATTCCAAAATCAAAGTTTACAGACATAGATTTAAGTACTAGTATTGTGTGGGATATCCTCAGATCACTTCCTAGCAATAATTCAACTTCTCCAGACAATATACCTTATATATTACTTAAATATTGTGCTGACTCACTTGCAAAAGTAATCACAGATACCTTTAGAATTATTATTGATAATGGGCAAATTCCATCAATTTGGAAATCGTCACTTATTATACCTCTATATAAAAAAGGGGAAAAATCAGATCCAAACAATTATCGTCCAATATCGTTAACATGCACCCTATGTAGGATTTTTGAAAGAATTATCACAAAACAATTAATAAAATACTTAGAAGATAATAAGTTCTTTAATCAAAATCAGTTTGGGTTTCTTAAATCAAGATCCACAACAACTCAGTTATTATCCACAATGGATGATCTCTATAATGCAATACAAGATGGGTATAATATAGATATCATTTACATAGACTGCTAAGGCATTTGATACTGTACCGATAAATATTCTTCTAGATAAGGTAGAAAAAGCGGGCATTAGTGGAAAAGTCTATACATTTCTTAAAAATTTTCTATCTGATAGAAATTTCAAGATTAAGATTGGGGACCAAATATCTTGCAAATATGAAACATTCTCAGGTGTACCTCAAGGTAGTGTCTTAGGACCTCTTCTATTTCTTATTTTTATAAATGATCTTCCAAATCAAATCCCTAAAGACATTGGAATAAAATTATATGCAGACGACGTAAAACTATATGTAGCTCATAAAAATGGCTAGAAAGGGATGAACTTAATAAAGCTCTAAGGAAACTTGAAAAATGGACAGAATCAAATTGTTTAGAAATATCTCCTCATAAGTGCTTTGCCTTATATCTAGGGAAAAATAACCTAAAAAGAGAGTATAATATTCATGGATTAAAAATACAAGAAACTGAATGCATTCGCGATCTTGGAATTTTAATTGATTCTAAAATATCTTTTAATAACCATATAAATATGATTATAAAAAACGCATATCTAAAAAGTTTCCAAATAACAAGAATCATTAAATCTAGAGACTTAAATCTCCTTGTTAATATATATAAAACTTATATAAGACCCCAGCTAGAATATGCAACTGAAGTGTGGAATCCACAAATTAAATATCAAATAGAGAAAATAGAAAGAATTCAAAAAGTATTCACTAAAAATATTTACAAAAAATGTGGATTAATCAAGGTCCCATATGAAGAAAGATTAAATACTTGTAAACTCGAAAAGTTAATAGATAGAAGAAAAATTGCCGATCTATCCACCGCTTTTAAAATTATAAAAGGGTTTACATCTCTTAATTCCCAAAAATATTTTAATTTTTCAAATAGAACACTTCGCAGGCCTCTACTTCTAAGGATTAAAAAACACACAAATAGAACAAAAAATAATTTTTTTCATAGGGTGGTAAATAACTGGAATAAACTTCCAAATGAATCATTCAAAATAAATGATCCCAAAAAATTTAGAAGTTTTATTAAAGTATCACGATCAAAATTAAATTTAGTAAAATTACCTTGAGCGTTAATGGTTTTTATGTGTAATATTAAATTCATTTATGTTTATTTTTATTTTTTTTAAAGTTTTGTTTTGTCGTTTCTTACATATATATTTTTTTTTTGACATTAATTTATTATTTTTATACTTTTTTTTTTGCACCACATTAATGTATTTTAAAATACCTGTGGTTTGCTGATAAATAAATAAATAACCCAATTTTTAATAATAAAAATATATAAAACATAGTTAACACTCCAATTTATATTTTGGTAGAAAAATTAAATTTTCAACTCTATTTTAAAAAAAGTGATTTTTTTTTTCCCAAAATACGGAGAATGTGAAGTGGGCGGCGCCATTCGATCCGTCTCGACGATCGACGTCTCACGTCTCTTAAACTGAGATATTCAATTCAATTTACTTATATGTATTACTTTTGACATTCAGATAAAATAAAATAAAACGTGACTATAATTAAATCATTAGTTTTGTATAAGGTTTGGAGACATTTGAATGGAGTGTGACTTTGATAAAATTTAGGTTAATATTGTTTAGAAGCTTTAGAAATAATTCGATTGAAGATTTTTGTAATTTAGGGCGGTATTCACAGATCGAGGTAAAGGTTACCTGGTAAGTTTACCTGGTTCTCTTAGTACTTGAACTCCTAGCTAAGGGTTAACCCATATACAAAAAAATCAACCCGAAGAAAAATCAACCCGAAAAAAATCAACCCATATACAAAAAAATCAACTCGAAGCTTACCCGTAGCTGTGGGTAAATTCTATGAATATCCTGTTTTAGCTCCATCTACGTGAATCCAACGATTTAGTGTAGAAAAGTAAAAAGAACGAAGTCGGTAGCTTCTTTTTTCATTAGATCTTAAGTCCCAAAAATCAACGGAAAATGGGCTTACAGTACTTCAAAAAATATTTTAACCCCTTAGAGGTTATATAAAAAATTTTTTTTCAAAATAACTGAGACCTAATTTAATAATAAAATATTGTTAATTTAAATATCAAATTAATATTCAAAAATTTGTTTTTTACTATTTTTCCAATTTTTAATATTACTAAAAACAATAAAAAATTAGGGAAGGGACATTAAATTAAATAATTTGACATATATTTTGTTTTTAAGTTTTCACTGTCTTGTCATACCCAATTTACTAATAAAAAGAAATGCTGAACATTTTTGGAAGCTAATTTGTGGCAAATTTTTGTTTTGACAAAAATAAAAATATATAAAATTTTTAGTTAAACATCAAAAATAAATTAAATAGAAAAAAGAAAAAAATTAAATTTAATAAAAAGAAGGAAATTGAAAGGAGGAAATTCTTTTGTAAATTTTTATTGAAATTCCAGACAGAATTATTTTGATTTGAAAAAGTTGTGTAGCGGTGTTAGCATAGTGTAAAAGCCAGTGTAAGCGTCAGTCTAATTGGATCATACTAGCGGGGCTAGTCACTGATCTCCTTCGTCTGTTCCAGCTCTCCAATCCCTTCGCTTACACATTGTTTATTTCTACACTAGATAAACTGTTTTTTTTTGCACGTCGACTTTAGTTAAATCTCGGACATAACAAAGAGTTTAACAAATATTTTTATATTATGATCAATTAATGTTACTAATTGTAAGATTTATTTTTTAAATGTCACTCAAAAAATAATTTTATAAATAAAAGAATCCCGCTTTTAGTTTTGATTAGCTACTTTTTTTGTTTTCTTTTTCTGTTCATTTTTGATAAAATTAAAATATACATCTCCTTTTTCCCCTTTCCAACAACAAAAATAACTAAATATTTAGTAATATTAAATGTTCTCCCTTTATTTTTATTTCAACAATATCCGTCATTTATATATATATTTTTTTTGATTTTTTGCCGGCATAATAAAAAAAAGAAAAATAAGAATTAATTTATTATTTATATATTTTGTTGGCATAAAAACATTTGTCGCTGTTTTGGCCTTTTATCCTTTAAATTTTTATTTTTGTAAGATAACCTGCTGTTCTTTCGCCCTTAGGGTGTAATGAATTGAAATAATTGGGACTGGTTTTTTTGGATTTTTTTGAAGAAGAAAATTATTAAATTAAATTAAAAAAAGATTTTATATTATGATCAATTAAAAAAAAGTGCCGAAAACATAAAAATAAATAAATTCCTAAAAAATTTTTTTTCAAAGGAAATAACAAAATAAGTTTTGATCACATAATCATTAATTTGAATAAAGTTTATTTTCATAAATAATGTGTCCCAAACATTTCTTGTTAAATTTTCTTTTTTTTACAATTTAAAGTAAAACATATTTACCACGAAAAATTTATCAATTAGATATCCTTCTTAAGACAA